AATGTTTCCTTTGTATTAATTAAATACAACATCATTATTTTAAAACAAAACCATCCTGCAATTTTTTTTAATTTAAAAATAATTAACACATACTTGTTTTCATTTATATAATAAACAAAAGACAAAAAAATGAAACAATATCTGCATGAATGTGAAATGTACAAATCCCTGATTAAATAATTATAATAATGTTAAAAAAAACTATAATTTACAAAACAATGGTGGAGTAAATAACTGCAATGGTTTCAGAATTAAATACAACAATATTTTTAAAACAAAATAATCTTCTTAATGGGTCACACTTTCCAATAAGGTTTCATTAGTTACTGAAATAGTTAATTTACTAACATGAACTAATTAATGAGCAATACTTGTACAGCATTTATTAATCATAAGTCAACATTTACTAATGCATTATTAACATCAGACTTCATGCTTGTTAACATGAGTTAATGCACCGTTAATGAACTAACAATAAACAACTGTATTTTCATTAACTAACTTAAACAAAAACTGTAATAAATGCTTTGTTCATTGTTTATATAACCTCCTAATGTTACTTTTAACCAAATACGCATCCTTGTTTGCATTTATATATGCAAAAGAAAAAACTAAACAAAAGTACAGTTGAAATCAGACTTATTAGCCCCTCTAAATTATTAGCCCCCCTGGGTATTTTTCCCCCAATTTCTATTTAACAGAGAGAATATTTGTTAAACACATTTCTAAACATAATAGTTTTAATATCTCATTTCTAATAACTGATTTATTTTTATCTTTGCCATGATGACAGTAAATAATATTTGACAAGGTATTTTATAAGACACTTCTATACAGCTTAAAGTGACATTTAAAGGCTTACCTAGGTTAACTAACTAGGCAGGATTGGGTAATTAAACAAGTTATTTTATAACAATGGTTTGTTTTGTAGACTATCAACAAAAATATAGCTTAAAGGGAATAATAATTTTGACCTTAAAATTTCTTTAAAAAAAAAAAAATACTGCATTTATTCTAACCAAAATAAAGCAAGTAAGACTTTCTCTAGAAGAATAAATATTATCGGACATTCTGTGAAAATTTCCTTGCTCTGTTAAACATCATCTGGGAAATATTTGAAAAAGAACAAAAAAATAAATAAAAAACAAGACTTATTTCCCAAGACCTAATTTCCATGAATGAATATAAAATAAAAACTAAATTGTACTACTAAACTACTAAACGTCAATTAAAAAGTCTCCTCCAGCCTTCAGTTGTCCCGAAGTGTTGTGATTTTTCTCACAAATCCCCTGCCCCTGGTATGACGTTTAACAATATGAATAAATAGTGTAATACTTGTAATATAATATGAACAAGTACTGTAATAAATGTATTGTTCATTATCTGAATATGTAAGTAAATGCATTAACCTTATTTTAAAGTGTAACCTCTTAATGTTACTTCCAACCAATTTATGCATAATTGTTTAAATTCATATAAGCAAATGACAAAAAAAGAAAAATTATCTTTATGAATATAACAAAAAATAAAACAAAACAACGCTACCAAACGTACATTTAAAACTCTCCTCCACCCTCCACGTGTCCCAAAGTGTTGTTATATTTCCCAGAAATCCCCTGCCCCTGGTATTACTTCAATTTATTAAAATATATAAGTCACAAATGTAACAATATGAACAAATAGTGTAATACAATGTGAAGAAATACTGTAATAAATATATTGTTTATGTTAGTAAATGCATTGCCTGATATGTGTAACCTATCAATATACTTTCAACCAGTTAACGCATCCTTCACTGTAAAAGTATATGGGGTTCTACACAATTCCTTTATGTTGTCCCAACACAAATCAATTAAGTTAACTTAATAATTTTTACAAATTTAAGAGGATTGGTCATAAAGCAAATAAGTTGTCCTTAAGAGTTGTATTGGTTCTACTCATATTAATTTGAATAAGCAGCAGACCTATTTTTTGGAGTGTTGGTTGCGTTTATAGATTAAGCAAAAGACAAAAAAAAAAAAAAGTACACTGAAAAAAATAATGTCTGCAAAACTGTTGCAAACTATTTATTTGTGTTGAATTTAAACAAACAAATTAAATTGAATAAAATTAAACTCAATTTGTTTGTTTAAAATCAGCCCAAATAAATAGTTTACAGCCACTTAACATAAAAAAATTGAGTAAATCCAAGCAATCATCTCTGAATAATTTGTTTCGGTGTAACATAAAATAAAACAAATTAAAAACTCTCCTCCACCCTCTACGTGTCCCAAAGTGATGTGATTTTTCCCAGAGACCCCCTGCCCCTGGTGCGACGTCTCTGGGCCTCTTTGAAATTCCTCAGCGCCTTCTGGAGGTGCAACATCACACCTCCTCATCCGGGATATATTGAGCTCCTTCCTCCAGGCCCTTCAGCATTCACTCAAGCTCCAGAGAACCAGAAACATCTCCAAGAACTCGACCATGGAGTTTAACCTTCCTCCTTACTTGCTCCAAGCAGCCAAATGCAAACTCGAACCCATCTCGAGTGCTGATTGTGGTTACTTCAGCGCATGTGGGAGCCTTTCTCCAAGCTCCTCCATCGATTCCGGATGCTTTTCTCCCCCTTGGGGAGCTGGAAGACAACTGGAAGGTCCTGAAAATGCCAATGTTGACTGTTTGCAAGCTAAAAAGCTAAAGCTAGCTCTTCCCGTTGATTCAAAGAGACGTTCCAGATCTAAAAACCCAGGAATGAAGCGACAATCAGCAAGCGAACGAGAGAAACTCCGAATGAGGGATTTGACCAAAGCTCTTCATCATCTCAGATCCTTCTTACCTCCATCTGTGGCTCCTGCTGGACAAACCTTGACTAAGATTGAGACCCTCCGTCTTGCCATTAGCTACATTTCACATCTTTCTGACCAACTCAGACAGGCTGAGGTGCCAAATTATGAGATGTGCTGCTCTGCTGAAGCTTCAGATAGGCTTCAGTCTGGTCTGGTTTTTGAAAACGTGTGTATGGATGGACAACAGGGACTCATGCAAGATAATGTTCAGTATTGTCCAACACTCACAAGCTTTGGAGATTCCAGAGAACAGATGGAGAACAGCTTTCCTGCTACTTCACATTTCAGAGATGCACAGTCTTATATGGTAAGAAGGCTTTTCAGTAACACTTTAAAATCATGGTCCATTAGTTAATGTTAGCTAATGTATTTAACAAACTATTAGTAATACATTTAATACAATATTAACTAATGTTTGTTAATGTTATTTAAGTTAAATAATATTAGTTCATGGTAAATCACAGTGCATTAACTGATGTTAACAAGCAAAACTTTGGATTTTGATACATTAATACATTAACTAACAAACTAATGTACCACTAAAGTTCGTTATGAATTGTAATTGGTCATTTAATGGCTGTAAATATGAGTTTGATTTGTTTGTTATGCACAAATATTTAATATTTTTTCCTTCTTTTTACAGTTTCCCTGCACAACAATGGATGATGCTTCATATAGCCATCAGTTTTACCAATGAAGGACGATGAGAGCTCAACTTGTTACAGAATCCAATAGACTTTGACTTTGTTTGTGTATATTATTTGTAATTATTTATCAGAAAACATATTTTTGTATTGGAGACATTTGTATATACTGCTTATTTATTGTCTTTTTTTAATTAAACCCCTTTAAAGATGACTTGTTTTGCATTTTCAGTCTTGTATCTAACTTCAGATCTGTTCGATTTTAGTTTTATTTTCTCACAAATTTTATTTTAACCCACTGTTTATTAAATAAGTTAATAAATAAGTTTAGTTTAATGTCAACAAAACTGCTTGAAACAAAAAAAAAAAACATATGGAATATTAAAAATATGAAATATAAAACAATTAATAATACAAGGCATTAATAAAAATGCTAATACATTGCATGCATCGGGAGAAAAAATGTACAGTTGAAGTCAGAATTATTATCCTGGAAACAGAAAGAAAGATTTTTTAAACAAATTTCTAAATATAATAATTTTAATAAATAATGCTAACACCTTTAGGTCACTATTCATATTATTACAATCCATTAAATAATATTACCAGTGTAATAAACTATTAATTAGCTGTTTATCAATAGTTAGTAAGGTAATGGGTTTAGGTTTTGGCCAAGATTAGAGATGCAGAAAAAGATCATGCATTTATAACTGCTAATAAGCAGTTAAAATCTAAATAATAGACAGGTAATAAGCCTAGTTAAGGCATGAATTGTGACCTAAACTAAAAGTGTTACCTAAATAATTTCTAATAAATTATTTCTTTTATCTTTGCCATGATGACAGTACATAATATTTTACTAGATATTTTTAAGACACTAATCAGATTAATGAGCAATTTAAAATCTAAACTGGGTTAATTAGGGTAACAAGGCAAGTTCTTGTATTACCATAGTTTGTTCTTTAGACAATCAGAAAAAAATATAGCTTAATGGGGCTTATAATTTTGACCTTAAAATGTTTTTTAAAACCTTTAAAACTGCTTTTGTTCTAGCCGAAATAAAACAAATAAGACGTTCTCTAGAAGAAAAAATATTATAGGAAATACTGTGAAAAAATCCTTGCTTTCTTAAACATCATTTGGAAAATATTTAAAAATCCACAGAGGGGCTAATCATTCTGACCTAAACTGTATATGTCAACTAATATATCAACATAAAACCAATTTATAGCACCAGTACAACACACAATGTAATTTCTCTAACATTTTTACAGTGTTATACTTGGAGGAAGCTCTTCATTTTCATTTGCTTTATGTTTCGCTCATCTGATTAGCTTTAGTTGTGGTTGTATGAAATAAAAGTTTGACCATTTTTGTAAACAAAAAGAAAACTTCATGAAGTAGTTTCGGTAATCCCTTACACAAAAAATAAAAAATAACAAATCTCTCACTTAAAACAGAGGCACAATCCCTTTAAGATTATGCTACAGTATGAATGGAAGCAAAAAAAAAAAAAACAATTTTGAAATTTCTTTATGAAGTAATTTTTTTAATACATTTGCTTAGCAAATAAATAATTACAGCTCGCCTCTTCCTGCATTTATATATGATGACTCCAGTTATAAACACTGACACCAGCGATAAAAGTATCAGCACTAAAGGAAATGGTTCTTCAGGGTCAAAATCTGAAAGAAAGTAAATTCATTAAATAAAGATCACAAACACTATTACATTTTAAAAGATTTTACCCCATATTACCTAAATAAATGTCCAGTTTGTTGTCGATTTTGAGGTGCTTGGCAGAGCAGGAGTATTTGTGTTTTTCTCTCTCCTCTGCTCTGATCTCCAGACTCTTCCTCATCTGATACGTCCCGTCTCCATTGGGCAACAGATCTCCTCCAGTGACCTCATGATCAGATACAGGCTGTCCATCTATCAACAGGGTCAGGTTGATGTGACGAGGGTAAAATCCTGTCGCCAAACAACTCACACGAAAACCTCCAGAATCTGAGTTTGCTTTTTGAATGAGTCTGACTTTGGGTTTGACTGAAAAAACAGAGAATCTTTCAAGATATGTAAGCCTATAAAACAGCTAAAAGTAAATGATTTCTTTGTTTGAGATCTACTGTATGCTGGAGTCGGTCATTTTACCTTTTCTATTGATTTGATTTCTACTTTTTACCAGGTAACCCTTAAGTGTTTGAAAGCAGAACGGCTGTAATAGCTTTTCACAAAGGTACTTGTTGTAATCATGATGAGCATGAAGCACATGGGTCGAGACGTTGAAGCTATCGTGGTATGTAAACTTCTTGTCAACAAATAGCAGCTGATCTGTCGTGGATCCTCCAAAAGCATTTCGTAAAATCATTCGTCCTGGTTCGCCATCATCCTGTAGCTCGCACGCGACCAACTGCTGAAGGGCAAAAACACCTTTAATAGATAGAGAATGTTTTTACAGTATAGTGTTTATTTATTTAGAAATTTCACAATCACACATTTTTTGCGACCACGATTTTGAATTAGCAATGCCATCGAACTGTTTTAAAAATATCACACTTGTAGCACTGTTATATTGGTGTATATCAGCACTGCTGGGATGCTAACTGCTAGCTCACTAGCTTGATGTGCGAGCTAGTGAAGAGCGGGAGGGTAGGTGTTGTGAGCGCAAACTGAAAGGCGCTGAGCAAGTATGGAGACGGTTGCGGGTTGGGTTCGGTGCGCTTAGGGACCATACCAAAAAGCTGAGGAACGGGTTGTGGAATTCCGGGAGTTTTCCGGGAGATAGAACAATACGGGAACTGAGCGGGAGATGGGTCTGAAATACGGGAGACTCCCGGGAAGGTATATAGTGTTGGAAGGTATGTCCAATATGCATGCAAAGGCGAACTTAGATTTGAGAAGCAGCACGACAAAAGTAATTGTGTTTGCGCGAGCAATTGAAAGCAGGTGAATACCGAATGAAAGGAAAATCACTGGCGCTAACAGCTGAGGTGCTGCGCGCGACTGCTTAAAACGCGTGCGCGCTCCCGTTTCTTTGCGTGAAGCAACTGTCTAGAACTGATGTAATCAATTCTCTTTCAAATAGACTAGACAAAAAGTGATGAGTAGCACCCACAGTCTTGCTGCTTTCAAGAGCTCCAGATTAGTCTTTTTGTAAGCAGCATCGGTTGCTTTCGCTTTAACCATTTGTTGAACAGATTATTTATGGGTCTAATGTTAACCGTGTGTGTGTGATTATTCTTTCATTATTACATGATATGTTTTTTACCTGCTTTCTTTTGCGTTAATATGGTTTAATTATCATTTTTTACAATAATGTTGCTTTAATGGGAGATTAAATCCCCATTTATGTGTAGTTAACTGGTGATTTGGGACCTTTAGCCAGAACAGATTACTGTGCATATGATTTGTTAAATAAAAAGTACAGTATACAGCTATATTTTGCTTGTTTTGACACATTTAAAATTTGTGGCTTAGAAAAAATAAATTATTATTTTTGTTTGGTGTGGTCAGAGATAAATTTGGTAAATCCTTTATTGTGAGCTCTGAAAATTATGTAAAATAAAAACTAATTGTAATACTATGAAACCCTGACCCATTTGCTCATGATTATTAAGCAAGCTCATACACGACACACAAAAAGTGAAATAAATGAGGAGGCATGTGGAGCTAACACAAATCTAAATCAAGCAATTTTAGCATGTCAAAGTAATATTTATATGTAAAATATATTTTCCCAATAAAAAAAATGTGGCTAGTGAATATGGCGAGTGGCTAGTAATGTTGGAAAACTAACAGCCACAGTGGCTGGTCATCAGAAAAGTTAAGTTAGCCCTGCTAACTACACATGCATCCAAGCAGAGCTGATATACAGCAATATTGCAGTGCTACAAATCTGCAATACTGCTTATGTATTTAATCAGAACTTTTACATCAAATTAAAATGGCTGTTGACTACAATGTAAAATCTGGTTGACTGTAGTCTTTAAAAAAAAATACTTACCGTCAGTTTTATTTAAGTGTGTTGTTGCTAATGTCCACCTGTCCTCAAAAGATGATTGTAGATGATCATGTATGATGGGGAGCGCATTTAAATTAAACACGTCATCGTCAGCTTTTGTGTTTCCTCTTGCTATGAGACTATTTGTATCACCGTTATAGTGGAGAACACTGACATCATCCAGCATCATCACATAGCTAAATTCAGGAAACGCCGTTTGTCCTTTAATGTACATTACAAGCATCCATAAAGAGTGAGAGCCTGTGAAAAATAAACACAATGATCAACACAATCAAACCTTTTGATGTAGTAGCTAATTCGTAATAATTTATATGATCTCGTTTGTACATTTTAGTATGATTTCTTTTTCATCGCTTAATGAGAGGTGGGGTTTTGGGGCCAAACAATACGTCCTTTTAAAAATGTAAGATTTTCATACTAGTGCAACTAAATGAATCGGTACAAATGATCAATTATCACATTATACATAAACTAGTCACTATGAACAGTTAAAAAATGCATGATTAATTTTGTAACTTCTATTATTTTTACCATTTTAATATTCCTATATTTTGACTGTGCATTGGTGTATGAACATTTGTAATGTTGTTATTTTTCTAACTGAATGTTTTATTATTATTCATAATGCTTTAGGATTATTAATGCAATTGCATTATATTTATATAGCTAGCTTACTTATATTTAAAATATTATTTTATTATTTTTCTTCTCCTGTTATGTTTTTTCCATCTACATTTTTAGTCGCTTGACATTTGTAAAATGGTATTGTCAGGGTTCTGCCACTCTGGTCTTTTAAATTCTTGTCTTGGTGGCAGAGCTCGGACACTAGAGCTGCGTCCCTAATGGCACACTATACACTATGCACTCATGCACTATGTACTTATGCACTTACACACTCAACAGGATAGTACAAACCATTTCCCTAATGACGTTTGACGGTTGCCAAATAAGTGAAATAAACGACGGAACTACTAATTATTACCTGCCGCGAGTTTAACCGCATTCACCATCGGGAGGCGCTATAATCACTCTCGTAGGAGAATTTTGCTTTCACCATCAAAAATAAATAAAGTTATCCAACATGTGGGTCCGAAAGCTCCGCCCCTACCGCTACGTAAGCAAACCTGCGGTCGTTGAGTGCGTGAAGTGTCCATCATTCCACACTTCATTTTAGCGGCTGAATGAGTGCATCATCCGGGTAATTAACGTGCCTCAGACACGCGCGCTCTTGTACTCGTGTTTGTGTTTTCGTCTGTCTGCAGCGTGGCGTTTCATTTCCAGCGTCTCAGTCTAGTTGGTTTCAGTTTTGGTCGGCGCTGGGATGAAACATGCACGCTGCGTGTGTGGGTGCACAGTGAGTGCTTTTATTCATCGTGTACTCGTGTCTTTCGTTCAGTCTTCTGTTGGTGCTGTGTTTAGCACGTGGTGTATGTTAATGAGTTCTCTCATTGGCTGCGTGTTCTAGTCTTGTTTTATGTGAGCACATGGCTTGTGTTGTCTCTTTGAGACATGCGCTCTCCCGTCTATTGTTGAGTCCCACCCTCCTTGTTAACCCATTATTAGTTAATTATGTTCATCTGTTTGTGTGTTAATTTCCTACAGTTTATAAACCCCTCATGTTTGCTGTCCTGTGCCAGTTCGTCATCACATGTTGTTGTTTGAAGTCTTATCCTGTCGTGTTTCCAGTCCTGATCCTTGCAAGCCTGCCCAGTCCAGTTTGTTTGTATGTGTTTGTTTTGTTAATGTTTTCCCCCTCATGGTAGTTTATTTTGCAGTTTATTTTATTTTTATTATTTAATAAATTCCTATTTCCCTGCAATTGAGTCCTCGCTCCTTTTTCCCCATTTCCCCTCACCAATCCTGACAGGTATATGCAAAGTGCTGATCTGTTGTTTTTGCTCAATGACCAAACTTTGGTGAAGGAAACTTTTTGTGAGATGTATATTATTAGCATAATGGTTAAGTTTGTTTTACATTTACTGAATAGCATAAAGATCTGCTGCTGCTATCTTGCTTTTCAGCTCATGCTGCCAAGGCCTTGATCTTTTTTATTTGCTTTAAGCTTATCAAACTCAGAAATAAGACCTCAAAATACATAAGCTGCATCTGAAATTACATACTTTTCATGTAGGTATACATTTGAATGTAAATTCACAACATTTAAATGAACACAACCCTTAGAAAAGTATGTTTTGTATTCTATGAATGTGAATAGTATGAAGAGAATTCCACCATTCGTCATTATCACATCATCTACTCATGTCAGTTGAATTGCTTCACTCCCATCCCTAAATTCTCTCACGTGGGATCATGGCATTGGAAAGTTTCCACGTTTCCAAGATCATGCACGTTATGAATCTGTTAGGTCGTGGTGGGTCATATCGCTTTTCGAATATTATGAATTTTAATATTGTACTCAGTTCACATACAATATAGTAGGGAAGTATGTGTTTTCAGATGCAGCTTTAGAATGTTTGGGTTTATTTTTATTTAAAATTTCATAATTTTAAGTATTACATCATATATGTTATTGCAATAATTGATTTATCATTTTTGTTCAAATAAAATGATCACATTTAAAGCTTGAGGACACATTTTTTGTATCAGGCAACATTCTTTATCAGATCACAAGTTTCATCATAACCAGAAAATGTTACGATTAAACAAGCATGTTAACTTTTGAACTTATTAAATATGCATTAATTAATACATTAAGCAGGCATGAATAAATACTCTACATTTTCTTTATGCTTAAAAATAACATCAAATATACAAACAACATAAGCATTTGTAATCATTCTTTATTATTTTAATTTCTGTTGTCCAGTTTCTACTGGCTGCTTTTCAGGCTTGCAGTCATGTCTTAATGTAAGTACATTATGTTTAGCTACTGACTGAACAAATCATTTGCTTCTTTCTGTGCTTAATATTACTTACAGCCCTGTAGTCCTTCCCTATAGTACCAAGTAGGTACAAAATATTTACTAAGATTTTGCAAACATAAATTATATATTAAGGTTTTTTTATTTGTTTGAATTAAAGAATTGACCTGAAGTCTTACCTTTTGGAGCTGCAGTTGGAAGTAAAAACACAAAAAACAAAAGGATTTGGCCCATTTTTCTAGCACATGCAGTGCAATACTTTGTGTTAGCACTCACTTCACAGACTTACTTCAAACTCTCACTTCTCCTTTGAGTGAAGTAAGTGTTTACTCAGCTTCCGGATTTTCTTGTTTAGCTAGTCAGTGTGACTTGAATGCATTTAAAAAAAACTGTTTTATTTCATGGGCCCAGCACATTTTAGATTTAAGCCTAAATAAACTGATCAAACTAAAAGTGTTCTTCGGGGTGGTTTGAAATCTACACTGTTAACAGTTTGATGTAGAATCTACAGTAACTCACTGTAAATCAATTACAGCAAAGATACTGTATTTACATTTAAAGCACCATTTATCTTGCTCTATGTATTTACAATATTGTATATCTTTACTGTAAAATATACAGTCATTTTCACAATGCAACTTTAAAATACAGTAACATACCGCATAACTGTCCTTATGTCCTTAATGAGCCTATAGCACATATTAGATTTAAGCCTAACTAAACACAACTGATCCAACTAAAATGTCCTTCAGGCATGTTTGAAACCTACACTGTTAACAATTTCCTGTAGAATCTACAGTAACTTACTGTAAATGAATTACAGCAGAGATGCTGTATTTACATTTTAAAGCAGTGTTTATCTTGCTCTATGTATTTACAGTATTGTATATATTTACTGTAAAATATACAGTACGTTTCACAATGCAACTTTAAAATACAGTAACATACTGCATAACTGTCCTACAGACAAATACAGTTCATATTACAGTTAAATAATGTGTAATTTATAAAAAATCCTGTGTTGGAGAAGGGTTGGAACTGAACTCTGCAGGGGGTTTTACAGGAACTGATCATAAATCAAGTATTATAGTCTAGAGACTTCATATAAATATTTACAGTTTGTTTTGTTCTGATATGTATGTCTAAATTAATGAACAAAAAACATGCTGAAAGAAAACTAATAATGTAAACAAAACAAAGCTGGAAATGGGTTTACCATGAAGTGTCAGGATAATAATATGATTGTGAATTAAGCTGCTATCATCCGTCACACAAAATGTTTTAATAGTATTTTTATTTTATTAAGAAAACAACCCAGTACATATACATTTATTCGTTTGGCAGATGCTTTAATCCAAACTGACTTACAAATAAGGATAAAGGAAGCACAGGTAACAACATCTTGCAGTTAAATCAGCAGTTGGAATGCAAACTGGAAGTAATGCAGAAATGCTGGTTAGCTCAAAGTCAATCTAACGATCAGCGATAACAACTGTACTGGCGGCTCTTAGGTACTTTTATTTAGTCTACATATATCTGTAAAAATAATGCACACATTCAGCAGACAACAATAAAAATGTCAGGACTTCACGTTTACAATACATGCTTGTTTGTGATTTTCAGGTGTAAAACCATTGGTCTGTTTAGCTACGAAAGGCTGATTTATACTTCTGCGTCAAACGCCGGCATATGCTATGGCGCTGACGCATAGCCCTTCGCCGTGGCCGTCGGCGTTGCTGACGTGCACCTCTCAAAAAATTTAACTACACGTCGCAATGACGCGTATCGCAAGCTCTGTGATTGGTCGGCTTGGTAGCGCTGATAGGTCTAGGCGGGACCGAAAGCCGCATGAATGGTGCGAGCCTGCTGGAGCGATTGTTTACAAGTGTGGAGTCGCATGAAGGAGCTCCGGATGGAAAGTTTTATTTTGTGTTTACCTCATAGTTAAAGTTGTTGCACGTCCGCCGGTCCCTGCCTCAAAATGAGCGAGTTTGAGCCACTTGTACATCCCGGAAGTGTTCAGGAAAAGCAAAACAGCAGCGAAGAAACTCGACACAGAGGAACATTTACACCTCACTTCCAAAAAGCGTTTCGGAAGTGTTAATGCAGACCAACAGAGACTGCGTGCAGAAGTATTATTATTAAATGCACAGCTACGCGCGTTGCATGCGCTGTGGGTTACGCCGGTCAATTGACGCAGAAGTATAAACCAGGCTTAATGGCTCCTCCTGTAGTCACACTAGTTGCTGCTGGTATTGATGCTTTGTCCTTTAGAATAATACTGTTATTAAAAAGGTGGAAAAAGTTGGAGAAATACATGCTGTCCATCTCTCAACAGGGTCGGGTTGATGTGACGAGAGTAAAATGTAATAAACGGCCAACTTAATCCAAAATTCAACAAATAATATTGCTGCAGACGTTATGGCTGTAGGTTTCTGTTTAAAACAATTACAGAACATCAATTGGTTTGAGTCCCAGCTGGGTCAGTTGGCATGTGTGGAGTTTGCATGTTCTCCCCATGTTTGCGTGGGTTTCCTTCGGGAGCTACAGTTTAAGTGGCTTCCTGTTGTGGTTCATGTGTTGCTGTTGTGCCAATGCTTTCTTCAGATGCTAAAAAATAAAGTTAGTTTTTAGATAGACAACAGAATGTGCAAAAGTGTAAACTTATATGAAATTATATAGAAGAATCATTTGAGTAAGCGGTTCTCAGCCACGTTTCTGGAGGACCACCAGCACTGCATGTTTTGGATGTCTCCTTTGTCTCTCACACCCATTACAGGTCTTTCAGTCTCTGCTAATGAGCTGATGATCTGATTCAGGTGTGTTTGGTTAAGGAGTCATGTAAAACGTGCGGAGCTGGTGGTCCTCCAGGAACGTGGTTGAGAAATACTAGTTTAAGTAATCACTTGCACATTATTTAAATCACATAAAAAAGACAAAATTATATTTATTAAACAAAACACTCACTTGAAGAAGGGGAATAATCTTTTTTGGGCGAGGCTACAATAAAAAGCATTAAGGAATATTATGAAATTGCTTTAATTATCTTTAGGCGTTTTAATTTTTCTTACAAAGTGAATCCTACCTGCTTGTCTCATCCAGCATTTATATATGACGACTCCAGTTATAAACACCAAAACCAGAGACAAAACTATTAACACTGCGGGAATCACTGATTTAAATAGTTCTCCCGGGTCAAATTCTGCAACAAGACATTAAAAAAAGATCACAAACAGATCACAGTTCTGTGATATTTTGAAAGTATTTTCACCTTGTTACCTAAAGTGATGTCCAGTTTCTTGTCCAGACTGAGATGTGTGGCAGAGCAGGTGTATTTGTGTTTTTCTCTCTCCTCTCCTCTGATCTCCAGACTCTTCCTCATCTGGTACGTCCCGTCTCCATTGGGCAGCAGATCTCCTCCAGTGACCCCATGATCAGATACAGGCTGTCCATCTCTCAACAGGGTCAGGTTGATGTGACGAGGGTAAAACCCTGTCGCCAAACAACTCACACGAAACCCTCCAGAATCTGAGTTTGCTTTCAGAATGAGTCTGACTTTGGGTTTGACTGGAAAAGAGACAACAGAAAGAGAATCTTTTGATATATTGTAGCCTGAAAAATGCTAAAAGTAAATTATTTGTCAACTTTCTATGCTGGAGTCTGTCATTTTACCTTTTCTATTGATTTGATTTCTCCTTTTTATAAGGTAACCTTTGAGTGTTTTGAAGTAAAATGGATGTATTAATGTTTCACAGAGGTACTTGACGTATTCATGATGAATATGATGCACAGGAGCCGAGACATTTAAAGTACCCTGGTATGTAAGCTTCTTGTCAACATATCGCACCTCATCTGTGATACATCCTTCAAAAGTATTTTGTGAAATAATTTGTCCTGGTTCACTATCGGCCCTTAGGTCAAGCACAACCAGCTGCTGTAGGGCAAAGACACCTTTAACAGAGAGAGAACGTCTTTAAGAAAAAGTGTTTATGATTTAAAAATTTCACAATCACAAAACAAAGATTATACTTAAAGTTATTTATTATATGTTTTGTACAATCATCATTTTTTATTAACTTTAAATGGCTATTTAGTTGAATATAACAATAAAAAATACTTACCATCAGTTTTATTCAATTTTTTTGTTGCTAATCCCCATTTGTCCTTAAAAGTTGAACGCATAAAATCATGTATGATGAGGTGATCTTTTGAACCATACAAATCATCTTCAGCTGTTGTGTTTCCTCTCGGAAAAAAAGTCTTTGTATCACTGTTATAGTACATAACTGTGATATCATCCAACATCAATACATAACTAAATTCAGGAAATGGTGTTTGTCCTTTAATGTACGTTGCAACAACCCATAAAGAATGAGAGCCTGTGGGAAATAAAGTAGAAAAATTAAAACAATAATAAAAATAAATGAATAAATCATCATTTGTTTTGTAACTTTTGTTCTGTTTTTATCTAAATTTAGATTTAACATGTTTAACATTCTTCATCGCATCACAAGTTTCTATGAAACCAGGAAATGTTATATCTAAACAGACATGCTAACCATGGTGTTTCATTGTGTTGCATAAATCTGTACAAAAAATGTATTCCGCTGACAATGTTGAATGGATGATTCAAGACAAGTCATTTGCTTATAATTAAAATTATTATTTCAAATAACATCAAATATTTTCAAACAACTTAAGCATTTGTAATTATTGTTTTATATTTACATTTATTTTTGGATGCTAAACTTGGCATCTTAGACAAATTATATATTTGATTCCACTTGTACCTTTACATTTTGTGACATAAACCCAAAGGAAAAAAAATAGTACTGCAAGTAGCCATTTATTACAATTTCATCATACCTTTCTCATTTTATCCTTTTTCAATTACCTTCATTATTATAATCTTTTAATAATATATATTTAAACAACTTTTTAAATTGATTATTATCCTGACATTGTTTGAGAGTCTGATCTAGAGTGTTCCATAGTTTTACACCACACACAGACATGCACAAACTTTTTAAAGTTATCCTTGTTTTCAGCCTCCTAAAATGTAGTTCTTCTCTCAGATTAGATCATCCTTGTCTTCCCTCAAAAAACTTTTGCATGCATTTTGGAAGTATTTTTTTCCCATATAGCTTTAAACATAATTTGTGCTGTTTTAAATTTAACCATATCGTTGAACTTGAGTATATAATTTGAAAAATAAAGGATTTGTATGTTGTAAGGACGTTTTTCTGCATTGTACGTATGGATCGTAAATTAGATTTATATGTATTCCCCCAAATTTCAACACAGTAACTTATATATGACAACAATAACAATAAATTTCATGAAAAAGAAGAGGTAAGTAAAATAATAGACAAATGATTTATGTGGTAATGGGGTGAGAAAGTATTTTTTTGTTAATGATATTTTATGTATGATATTTCTGTTCAAAGATAAATAAATCAAATCAAATCAATGTAAATTTATTTATTTTTATTTTTTTGCTTTTTAGGCTTGCAGATACTGTAGATAAGCCTTACTAGAAGTACATTCTGTTTCAGAGCTAAATTTTTTTTGCCTGAACACGATGGCATCGACCGTAAATGAGTGACCACACATTTCAAAAAGCGTTAGAAAATAGATGAAATGGAGAATTGCCTCTGGCGATTATGTTTTGGTTACACCAGCAACCAAAGCAACGCCTGAGGTGTGGAGAATGAAAGTGTTTTGAGAATGTACATAATTAGAATAATGGGTCATATAAATGTGTGCGCACATTTGAAAAATATCAGGCTGTAAACGGCTTTAGACATTTAAATAGCAGTCAGGCAAAATGTAGGTCAAGTTAGGGCCAAAATTTGTCGCTCCTAACTTTTAATTTGTACATAATATTTCTTATAGCACTGATATAGTGGTTGAAAAAACACAACAGATCTATTAAGCAGGTTTAAGAACTTGTTTGAAATCTTACCTTTAGGAGCTGCAGCTGGAAGTAAAAACAAAAGGAGAAAAATAATTTTGCACATATTTCTAGCAGATTGTATCAGCACTCACTTCTGCTCACTACAAAACCACACTTCTTTGAGAGAAATGACTGTTTACTGATCGCTGATAAGCATAGCTTCCTTGATTTTCCAGTTTAGCAAGTCAGTAAACATGACTCCATCTGATTAAAAAAAACTGAAGTGTATCCTTGGATTAGTGTGCAGAAATGGATGACTATTCTACTACTAGAGATTCAACAAATGCTTTAGTTATTTTGATCTGATAGTCAGAAACGTTCACCTGCTTGCGACAGGAACTCCCGTAACGTAATATGAAATGTTGTGAGAAATTGTCGAAATTCAAAAGACTTTTTTTTAACTCAGAATTGCGACTTGTAACTAAGAATTGCGACTTTATAACTCGGAATTCTGACTTAACTCGTATTGTGAATTTATAACTCAGAATTCTGACTTAATAACTCGGAATTGCGACTTAACTCAGATTTCTGACTTTATCATTTTATATATATATATATATATATATATATATATATATATATATATATATATATATATATATTCATTCATTCATTTTTTTGTCGGCTTATTCCCTTTATTACTCCGGGGTCGCCACAGCGGAATGAACCCCCAACTCATCCAGCAAGTTTTTATGCAGCAGATGCCCTTCCAGCCGCAACCCATCTCTGGGAAATATTTTTTTTAAATAAATTCTTCATTTTTTTTGTCATTCAGTGGCGGGAATGGGCTTCCATAGGATACTGTAAGATGTCTGGGGGAAAGAATTAACTGACCACCGGTATGCAATAAATAATTATGTATTAGACAGCTTTATTTTTTTTAAAGGTTTGACAGGTTTAAATAATTATGTATTAGACATAAGCCAACTCTTAATTTTATAAGTATAAGTATTATAAGTATTGCACATAATATTCTAAATTTGAAAAATTCACTGCATACAATACAGCTGGAAATGTCAGTCGTCATGGTTCATCTGTTCTTTGGATGTTCACCACTTCTGTGGCAATAATTCTTTGGGTAAAACTTTATTTTACTATTAACTACTAAATTATTTCTTACAATTCTGGGATATTGGTTGTTTAATAGCACTTATGATAGTACGATTGTACATTCTACCCAAAACCCTCTTAAGGAAAGAGAAATTCCATGTGCTTTGCTTTCAATCCATACAGCAGTGAACAGACACACATTATTTACCCCCTCAACCTACAATCCCTGCTGGTGCCAAGACTCGAACCTGTGACCTTTTAATTACAAGTCCATACTCTCTAACCATTGGTCTGAAAGAGCTAAAGATCTAATGGTTTGTTAATTGTAAAAAGTGTGACCATTACTCAATTACTATCCTTTTATTTAGTTTCTGATTCAGGGGTCGCCACAGCAGAATAAACAGCCAGTTACTCTGGCAGTGGCAAAGGATTTATGGGGTGTATGCCCTTAGTTAATTTCATAACTTCCGTTCGCTGAGCCACAATGCTGCCATTATTTGTCCTTTAATTAAGCTGGCCTCTGTATCATCATTTTTTATTGTTTGTTTATTTATTTAATTCAAAGGGACTTACAATAATGGTTAAAGGAAGCACAGTTCACAAAACTGTGGTATGTCAACTGATATGTGTGTTACGTTTTAGTTTTTCTAGGAAATAATGCAGATTAATTCAGTCAATGTGAAAATCAACAACATTTTCTGGTGGCTCTTAATAATTATTTTTGTTTAGTCCACATTTTGGCTGAAATATCTGATACAAACCAATGCATACATTAAGCAGACAACAATTAAAAATGTCACTACTTTTCTTATTGCTGCTGTTATTGATGTTTTGTCCTGTTGAATCGTACCATTATTAATAAGATAAAAAGCTGGAAAAACAAGCTGTCCATCTTTCAACAGGTTCAGGTAATGAGACGAGAGTTAAAAAATAACCCAAGAACTCTCTCAAGAACTCACCTGCAGTCTCAATTTCTTCACTTTAGCCTCATGAAGTTGTCAGTTTTGTTTGTTGTGCGTATGAAATCATTTTTAGAAATATTTTTTACACACCTTTTTCTACATTTATAAAACAATATTTCAAATGCATATTAGTGTAAAGAATACCTAAAACAAAAATTGGTTCAAATGTAAAATAAAAAGGAACAATTTAAAATACAAAAAAATTTGCTGGTAAATTCCACTCATTCTAACTAACAGCAAGTCAAACATTGAATTTCCCATCAACGTCTGAAGGAAAAAAAAATACAAATAAACCATTTAAAAGTGTTAAGATTTCTGTTCATTGTAATAAAATCAACTCTTGAGTGCATGAGCCATCAGTTTGTAAAGGGAAAAAAGAAAAGCCGCAAACTAAATCCAAAATTCAACAAATAATATTGCTTTTAAAGCAGAAGTTATGGCTAAATGAGCCACCTCTAGACAAATAACAGAAGATGAATTTGCTATCACAAGATTATATTCTAGTTGCAGTGCAACACACACTAGAGTCAAAATCACTGCTTGGTATACACTAGATGCTTGGTACTTGGTTCTTTTTCATTTCCTTAATCTTCCACCCATCTCAATAGGTTCCTGTTGTTCAGGCGGTGATGCTGTAAAAAAAAATAAAAAATGAAACTAATATACAAATGTTGACAAGAAACAATCTATTGGTATTCACTTACACAAAAAAATGACAATATTTAAAAGCAAATCACTCGCTTGAAGCAGAGAGGCATTAATAAAATTTGAAAATGATGATTTATTTTCAGGTGATTTTATTTTCTCACAAAGTAAATCCTACCTGCTTGTTTATTCATGCATTTGTGTATGAGGACAGCTGTAAGCACCAACACCAGAGACAAAAGCACCACTACGGGAATCACTATTTTAACTGGGTAACTGGGGTCAAATTCTGCAACAAACATATTTAAATGCAAGTGAGAAACAGATCAGAAACAGTTCAGTGATGTGTTGAAAGTTTTCACTGTACATTTCATTACCGAAATCAACATCTAGGTTTTTGTCCAGGTGTTTGGCAGAGCAGGTGTATTTGTGTTTTTCTCTCTCGTCTGCTCTGATCTCCAGACTCTTCCTCATCTGGTACGTCCCGTCCCCATTGGGCAGCAGATCTCCTCCAGTGACCTCATGGTCAGATACAGGCTGTCCATCTCTCAACAGGGTCAGGTTGATGAAATAGGGGTAAAATTCTGACGCCAAACAGCTCAAGCGAAACCCTCCAGATTTTGGGTGTACTTTCTTAATCAGTCTGACTTTCGGTTGTACTGTGAATGAAATAAAGTATGTTCAGATGTGGCCCTTTCACAATCCTATGTAGATAAAAATCAGAGAAAAAAAAGCTGAAGACCAACCTTTTCTGTTTACTTGAACTTGTCTTTTTACTAAATAACCTCCGAGGGTAGTCATGCAGACTGGGTAATATATACTCTTAAATTGCATCTGGAAATACTCCAAAGGTACAGTTGCCATGTTGTTTTGGCACTGACATGTAAAATTGTTACCATAAAAACTCACTTCATCTGTAGTGGAGCCACTAAAAGCAATCTTCAAAATCATTTGTCCAGTCTTATTATTGTCCAACAGCTCACAATGCCAGGCAATTTGAAAAAGTTGAGGACCTGTCAGTAGAAAACAGATTAACCTAACAGCTTTAAGGAGATGAGGCAAGCACCCAAATGTAGCAAATGAAAACAATTTTATTTAATAAAAGGAAAACAAAATAACTTGAAGACACATAGACACTGAATTTATGATCACAGTCCAGCACAGGACAGCACACTAGGAGAATAAATAGAGAAGACAAACCAATGAACAGACAGGCGTACAGGTGAAAATAATAATTACAAACAGGATAACAAGGTGGGTGAGACAAGACTCTAGACAAAAGAACACATAATACAAAACACAACAAACCATGTGTTTACATAGAAACAGGACTAGAACATGCAACCAACAGCCACGTTTCCTCTATCGTGCTTAAGGCGAGCTAAGGCCAGTCGCATTTACATTGTCAAAGCGGGGCTTTCTCGGGGCCAGCAGCCGGCCTTTTTCGGCCCGTTGAATACCTTGGGCCAAAGAGGGTCAGCTGGGGCTTCGGGTAGAGTGAAAGGTGAGGCGGACACTAGTTTTCCAATCGCACACGAGTACATGCGCCAAACAAATATACAAATAAATAAGGGAAAGAAAACATCTTCCCTAATAGGCTGGGGTCTTTTTGCGTATGATCGCCCTTATGTTTCCCTTTCAAATGTAAGGCTGTTGCATAAAATAATAAAGTAGTTTTAGTTTATAACTTTCTTTGCTGTGTCCTTCTTGGTTTCAATAACGCATAACAATATTTACACCATGTTAAAGACACAGCAGCCAGTAAAGGTTTTCGAAAGTTTTTGTCAAGTTTAAAAGGTGTGTTTGTGTGCGTTTAGATGCCTGTATGTGAATTTGAAACCGAGCAAAAGAGCGTTCCCTTTTTAGCTCTGTTGATGCCGGGAGCCGTTGGGTTTCTTTTTTTTACACAATATGAATACAACAGACAGACATAAAATTTAACAAATTACGTGTCCGCTTTTGTTGACTCAAAACAATAGTGTCATATCTTGATAAAATAGCCTAAGCTATATTGAAATAATTTAAAGAAGCACAAAAAACTGATATAATAAAATCACATTAAATAAACCAATATAAAACCAACAAAAGCTAGCTATAACAATGTAGGTTTACAACACATAAATCAAACCATTTTAAAGCCATATTAAATTATCATTTTACAAAGGCCTATCGTAAAAACGATTTTAGATATTTTCTAAAAACAAGGTTTGAAATATTATTTATAAAGTATTTGGATATGATGATATTAATCAAATTGTGCAAACAGAGCATTTTTGGGGTGTGTGAAAGCAGAAACTAGGCTACCTTTTTTTAAAAGGTAAAAGCCCTGGCTTGTACTAGCCCGACAGTGGAAATGCGACAAATGAGAGAGCTCACTGACCACGTGCTTACATGAAACAGGACACTAAAGCACATGGTTAGAATTTAAACATGAAACCAGGATGACATTCATACAATGACAAGGACAGACAATGATAAAAAAAAAAACGAGCCAAGAAAACTCAAGCAGAGCACAACATACAAGACATGACAGGACTAGTGCCTGGACTCTGCCACCAAAACAAGAATTAACAAGACTGAAGTGGCAAAATCCTGACTTTAGAATTTAGTAAGTAGAAGTAGAAGTTAAATAACTTCTACGATCAATTGTATTAGTCCTATTATTAGCCCTATCATTCTATGATTAACATAATTAGCAATATTATTAGTTTGATTTAAGAAAAGAAAATCAAAAAATGCAGAACCATTGTAATTTCGGACACTGATTGTATAATATAAACTTGAGCAATTTCCAATAGAATAATTGAACTTACTCTCTGTACTGTTCTGAAATATTAATGTTCCCTTCAATAAGGGCTGCAATTCATTTTTTATTTTATCAAGCATGTCAGAAACAGTCTCATCTTCATTTGTAGTATTATCTCGTGGAATGAATTCATCTCTTTCTGTAATATAAAGCCCTACTGTCAAGTCGTCCAGCATAAATGTGAAACTTATTTGGGGAAATAGGGTGTCTCCTTTAATGTAGGTTCCAAGTATCTGCAGTGAGTGAAAATCTGTGGAGAAAGAATAGGCTTGAAATTAACAAAAACTGGGTTACATTTCCAATCAGGTGTTAGTTAGAAATCAACCAATTAACTTTCACTTTACACTTGCTAAAAAGAACTGAAAGATTTATATAAAATTTAATATTATCCTATTCCCTGGATAGTCTGCTTTATAACACATAAAACATGTTTATGAATTTGCTTGAACAGAGGCTTTAAAATGCAAGTGAAACAGTCAGTTAAGTTTACATTATTTTGCAAATTGATTTCCACTTTGATGAAAATATCCATTACAAATTTGATTAATGTAACCATTTTTAAGAAAAGGGCATGATTTACTATTCCTTGTAACGCAGGTGCCCAGCAATCTTGGAATATAGTTGAGTCTTATATCATGTGGTTGGTTCTGTTCCCTCAGCTAAACAGATACAGTTGAAATAATGGACTGAACACGTAGACTGCAAGGCTTAACTTAACCCAATGTGTGGAGCTGCTGCAAATATAAGTGTCACATAGCAGATGCTGAGAACAGAGGTGAGGATCCAAATGCAATTTAATAATCAAAGTCATACAGGCAGAAGTCAAAAACAAGAGCAAAACAATAACACAAGGGCAATCTAATAATCATGTTCAATAAACAGGCGAGAGGTCAGACTAGGCAGCAATAAATCAAAAAAGATGAACAAGGCTAGATTCAAAAACACAGGAAACCGGCTTTGTAATGTTCATGACAACAAGTGTCGTCGGCAATGTGTGCAATGAAGGAAGGTGAGTTGTATTTATAGTCCTTGTAATAAGTGTAGATCAGGGGTCGGCAACCCAAAATGTTGAAAGAGCCATATTGGACCAAAAAAAACAAAAACAAATATGTCTGGAGCCGCAAAAAATTAAAAGCCTTATATAAGCCTTATAATGATGGCAACACATGCTGTATGTATTTAAATTAGCTATATTAGCCTACCTTAAAAATGACTTCGTTGGCTACAAATACATACTGAGCCTTCATGATTAAATGTTCATTTCCCTGCAGTGCATCCTGTAGAGAGTGACGCGCCACGTGACTACTCTGTTGTACGATGCCGTCTCAAGTTTAACTTAATTACAGTATATTAATGAATTATGTTTAATGTTCAAGTTTAACTTCATTACAATATTAATTAATTGTAAAAAACGCAGCCTGCCATTTCCATTTCAAGATCAGCTCGAGTCATTCCTGGGAATGTGCTCAACAAGGAAGGGTTAATCTCCAGGGGTGTGTGTCAAGGAAAGACAGTCTAATTTTTTCCTTTCGCAACTCGCAAAATCTGCTCTCAAATGCAGTTTGCATATCAACGATCGCACTTTGTAAATAATCACCGTTGAGTGAGTGATCGGGATGGACTTCTTTGAATTCTCTCAGGGAGGGAAAATGAGAAAGCGTGCCCCGCTGTACATCTTTGGCAAAGACAGCTTGCACTCCATGGCGCATCACACAGCCGCCGGTTTGTTTACAACAGCTACCTGCCTGGCATCCCACCCTGCTGATAGAAACGTGTGTCGCAGGCTATGACGCAAATCTTCGTTGACAGAAATGTTGAAATTAAATATTCTACACACTTTACAGCATTGGAAAACGTTAAGATTGTTTGTCCTCCTATAGAAACCATATTAAAACAAAAAATATATTTACCTCCCTCATCGTTTTCCATTTTCAAACATTTTTTGAAAAAGTTCCAGGGAGCCACTAGGGCAGCGCTAAAGAGCCGCATGCGGCTCTAGAGCCGCGGGTTGCCTACCCCTGGTGTAGATGATCAACAGCTGTGTCTGCGTGTGAGTGTTCGGATTATTGTCAGCTGTTGCAGGAGTTGATGAGCGCAGGAAGTTCTAGGAGTTGTAGTTTGTTTAGCAGTAATCTCCTATATAGAAAACCCATCTGGCAATTTGAACAAACTGCAGGAAGTAAATCACCAGTGGAGACAACGCCACTGGCAATCATAACAAGTATCAGATGTGTGTCTAATACAAAAAAAATATATTTTTTTCCTCTTTTTGGTTATCGATTGTTTGAGCACATCGGTTCCCTCTTTGTATTACCTTGCCTGACTAGGGCTGTTTCTCAATTCCGATAACTAGGCCCACATGGAATCTGCGTGCACAGAATTCTGCAGATTTTTAACCCATCATTAATCTTGTTTATTTACTTGAGTAAATGTGTGTAAATCTATATTTATTCAGTTTTTTAATTATTTACAGTAATACTATTGACTAATATGAAAATGTTCAACTGATTTATGTACAGTGCAGTTTGTAAAGTATTATTTTCTGTTTTTTAGTAGATCTATTATATGATAAACTTGCTTTGTTTACCAAATAAATTGAATCTAACTGGATTTCCATTTTAAACAAGAAATAAAAGTAAAAAAATATATAATTTTTTATTTAACATATTAAGGTTTTAGTCATGATGCTCCCAAAAGCCTTGTGCATAGCCGTGCATTTATACTTCTGCGCGCTGTTTCTCTTGCTCTGCAATACACTTCCGAAACGCTAGTTGGCAGTAGGTGTTTATTTTTCTCTGTGTGACACCACTACTGCTATTTGGCATTCTGTGTCACTAAGCAATAAGACTACACTACATATACATATATAGTAAGTTTATTAATTTATTTCTTTTCTTTTCGGCTTAGTCACTTTATTAATCGGGGGTCGCGACAGCGGAATGAACCACCAACTTATCAAGCACGTTTTTAAGCAGCGGATGCCCTTCCAGCCACAACCCATCCCTGGGAAACATCCACACACACTCACTCACACACATACACTACGTACAATTTAGCTTATCCAATTCACCTGTGCCGCATGTCTTTGGACTGTGGGGAAAACCGGAGCACCCGGAGGAAACCCACGCGAACGCAGGGAGAACATGCAAACTCCACACAGAAACGCCAACTGACCCAGCCGAGGCTCGAACCAGCAACTTTTTTGCGGTGAGGCGACAGCACTACCTACTGTGCCACTGCCTCGCCTTACTAAAGGCTATATTAGACACAAATTTTATGCCAGTATTTTACATTTACATTTGCAATTCACATCCATAACTTCACACATTGGGTTCAATTAAGCTTTACAGTCTCCATGTTTAGTCAAGTACTTCAACTGTATCTGTTCAGCTGAAGGAATGGAACCAACTCCGTGACATCAGACACAGCGATATTTCAAGATGGCTTCACCCTTGAGCTAAAAGCTACAGTAAAACAGGCTGTTTTCTTTAAAATGGTTACAATAATCAAGTTTGTCAAATATATTTTTTCATCAAAGGGAAAATCAATTTACAAAATGTAAATGACATAATCATGTAAACTTCACTGACTGCTTCACCTCAACTTTAAAGGGATAGTTTACTGAAAATGTCACTTTTCCACTATTTTTTAAACTGGAGTTTCTTTCATACAGTATGTTGCACACAACAGATATGTTGTGAAGAAAGCTGGAAAAATATAATTGTTTTACACTGTATTTTTTTCTAAACCTGTAATTGTTTTTTCTTTGTCTTTCAGCTTTCCTAAACATATCTTATTTACTGTTCAACAGAACAAAGAAACTCAAACAGGTTGGAACCCACTGGAAAGTGAGTGAGCACTGCTTAAACTTTCATTTTTAAATGAACTATTCCTTTAAACATTAACAAAACAAAGCGTAAAGGGATTTGCACAAAGAAAAGTGTCAAAATAAACCTAAACATAACAGAGAATCACACGAGTTGTGGTGTGTGAAAATAAAAAATCCTGAATGTGATAATTAAATTGAAAGTTTGAAGTATATTAGCCTATTTTTGTCTGACACAGGTCAAAACATTTTCAGGTATTTTTGAAAATCTGGAGCCCCTTTAGGTAGTTTTAATTAGTAGTTAAATTAATAGTTAATTTCCTAGCCAACAAGAAGCCACTTAACTTTCGCACATGGGCAGCCAAAGGAATCACACAACTTCAACATATCTTTATTAATAATAATCTGGCACCATTTCCCCATATAGCCCAGACATACAGCATTGGGAGTAATTGCTTTTTGGAATATTTACAAATCAAATCATCAATTAAGTCAAAATTACCTAACCAATCAATCAATCTAGACCTTCCACCTCAAATCTCAGAGTTTATTAATATATCTCCCTCCAAAAAATTGCTCTCCCAAATATACAAAATGATATCAAAATCAGACAATGCATTAGTTCTACCAACCACTAAATGGCAAACAGACTTATTAATCCCAATGCTGCATTCTGGACTCAAATTTGCAAAAACACATTTTCCATGACTAAAAATGCTAACTTACAACTTATACAGTACAAAGTACTTCACAGATCACATTTAACTGGGCAGAAATTATTTAAAATAGGTTTCACTTCAGAAATATGTTCACATTGCACACAAAACACCCCAGACACATATCTTCATGCCTTATGGCATTGCACTTCAATTACATCATTTTGGGAAAAGGTTACTGACTCACTCTCCAACTTAATGGGTTGTCACATCCCACTGTGTCCCTCCCTCTGCATATTAGGTGACATATCCACAATCAATATAAATAATACAAATGGTCAGTTTCTGCTGGTGGCTCTAACTATCGCAAAGAAAACTATCCTCATGAACTGGAAATCAAGAAATACCATTCACATCTCATACTGGAAAAACTTATTAACAGAATACATCTCCATTGAAGATCCTCTTTGCCTGAAGCCATTCCCTAACAACACCTTCATCAGTACATAAACAAGAGGGGATTAAATCTAATTTAAAATAAATAAATCAATTGGGAAAAAAAAGTATAATGTAAACAATTAAAATAAAAGAATCATAATTCGGTCTTTATATACTTCTTTACTTTCCCTTTTGTTCTATTTGTTCCCCTTTCCTGTTTCTATCAATGTTATTTATTCATTTTATTATTATTATTATTTATAATATTTGTTTTCTATTTATTATTATTATTATTATTATTATTATACATAAATTATTATTTTTTATATACCAGTACTTCTCCTGACCAGTCCAACAACAGATTAAAAAAAAAAAAAAAAAAAGGAATAAGTATGAAGGGGGAAAAAAGGAGAGAAAGAAAGAAAGAGAAGAGGAGTGAGAAGAGAGGCAAAAAAGGAAAGAAAAAAAAATCTACTTGCATGTAATTCACAGGGTAAAGTGTAACGTAGGCATGGCAGTCTGGGCACTGCACTGGACTGATCCATGCCACACGTTACACTTTTTTTAATGCATCACAAAGCAACTGACAAACACTATATACCTCAATGCCCATCACACAACTACAACCTCCTCAATTTATTGTTACAGCTGTTATTATTTTTATTATTATCATTATTATTAGTATTATTATTATTACCAGCATGAGTATATTATAGTTATCAAGTTAATAATCTATCATACATATCTTTAATATTATTCTTCCATGTGGGTTTGTATAATTCATAATTAGCATTGATATAGTGTTTTCTTTTTTATTTATTTAGTTTTTATTATTATTATTCTTTTTTTTTCATTGCTTTGTTTGCTGAACTTTATTTTTCTTCTCTCTTATTGTTTCTTTTCTTTTTCTTCTACTCCTCCCCTTCCTTTTCTGTTTTTTTAATTTTAATTTTTATTTTATTTATTTATTTTTATTATTATTATTTTATTAATTTTAGTTTATTATCATTAGTTTATTTTCTCTTTTCCTCTCTCTCCCCTTCTACTTACTACTTACTACTATTATTATTATTTATTATTATTATTATTATTATTTATTATTATTATTACTTGTCCTCTCCCTGATTTCCCATCCTCCCCTCTCCTCGACACCTTTGTCATAAATGGTATTATTTTTATTTTTTGTAATCATTATTATTATTATTACTGTTCTGACTTGTCCTGTTATCTTTCCATTATCATTATTACAAGTATTTATACCATTATCATTATTAAGGTTGCAATTGTTGTAGTTGTAGTGGTAGTAGTTGTAGTAGTAGTAGTAGTTGTAGTTGAAGTAGTAGACAGTGTAATAGTATCGATTGTTATTGAGTAATTGTTACAGAGATTATTGAAGTAGTAGTTCATGTAAGTAGTAGCAGAAGTAGTAATGGTGTGGTAGTTACAGTAGTAGTAGTAGTCGTTGTTGGTGTAGTAATATCAGTAGTAGATGTTGTTGATGTAGATGTAGTAGAAGTGATTGTGGTGGTGGTAGTAGCAGTAGTAGTAGTAGTAGCAGTAGACGTTGTTGTATTAGTTGTAGCAAACGCTATAGTAGTATCAGTAGTGGTAGTCGTTGTAGTAGTATCAGTTTTAGTAGACATTGTAGTAGTAGTAGTCGTGGTTGTGGCTGTAGTAGAAGCAGTAGTAGTTGTAATATAAGTAACTTTCTGTAGTAGTAGTTGGTGTAGCACTTGTGATTTATTATTATTGTTGTCAGTTATTACTGTTGTCCTTTCTTTCTTTTTACTCTTATTTTTGCTATCATACATTAATAAGCATTGTTGTTACTCCCTACCTCTGACTGGTTTCTTTCTATATGTTTTATCTATATCTGTGACACTTGCTTCATTTATTGACTGTTATTGTTCCTTATGTATGTACTCTGACCTGTCCACCAAGTTACCTTTACATGCATACACACACTCACACGCACACACTCACGCACATACCAGTACATGACTATATTGTTGTTGTTTTTGTTTTGTTTTTGTTTCGTTGCTTTGTATTTGTTATTTGTTGACGTTTTCTTGTATTTGTATGATTTTTGCACATTCTAATAAAAAATTCAAAAAAACAAAAAAATTAATAGTTAATTAGTAGATAATTTAATAGTTAAATAAGCACATTGCTATTCAATTGCAATTCCAAAAGAGAGTTTCTCTCAAAAGATATTTAAGTTAGTTAAAAAAACACGCTCCTCCTCATGATATTTTACACCCATTTTTTTAACTTAAGCCAGTTTTGCAGCATTTCTTTTCATACACTGAAGAAAGTGAAACTACGTTGTCTTACATTCAAAGAACATTTTTATATAAAATTATGATTTTATTCAATTTGCCTTAAAGCAAAAATATAAAATAAAAAATTACCCCCTAGATAAAACTAAAAGCATAATTTTTTTTTCCTGAAAGTATTTTACTTTAAACCATCAGTTTTATGTCATGTGAGTACATAAAAAATGCACTGCTATTCAGGATTGATTGATTTTTAATGGTTTAATTACCATTTTGCATGACATTTAAAGCCATACTGAAAGCTCCAGCAGTTTACCTCAGAAATAACTGAGAAAATGAAAATAAAATAACCAGGAGCCATAGCATAGCTTAACATTACGTGTATGTTTTTTAGATAAGTCCAAAGTCAAATTTGACATTAATTTTATAGTAAAAAAAAAGTAGGCAAAATTTTTACCTAAGTATTGAATAATTCATGGTCTATACCAGGGATGTCAAACTCTGTTCCTAACTGGCTACAGCCCTGCACAGTTTAGTTCCAACCCTAATTAAACACACCTGATCAAACTAATTGAGTCCTTTAGGCTTGTTTTAAATGTACCAGTAAGTGTGTTGAAGCAGAGTTGGAACTAAACTGTGCAGGGCTGCGGCCCTCCATTGAGTTTGACATCCCTGGTCTACACTAAAACAATATTTTACCTTTGAGTGAATGTATTTGTTTTCTTGGGTAAGCTAAATATTTTAAGTATTAAATTACATTTATCATTTTAATTTTCAAAATAAAAAATTAAGGAAAATTAAAAAAAAAAAAAAAAAAAAAAAAAAATATATATATATATATATACATACTTTTATTGTATAAAAATACTTAGTAAAAATACATATATATTAATGTCTTTATAGTAAACACTGTTTTTACTTTATGTGAATTTTTTTGTTTCAACCAAGTCAAAATAAAAAATTAAGGAAAATTAAAAATATATAAAATTACCTATATATATATATATATATATATATATATATATATATATATATATATATATATACTTTTATTACATAAAAATACTTAGTAAAAATACATATATATTAATGCCTTTGTAGTAAACAGTGTTTTTACTTTATGTGAATGTAATTTCTTTTCTTGACCACAATAAATATTTTTGATTTAAGATAAAGATTGGACGAAAGTAAAGATAAACTTTGAGAAAAAAAAGTTAGCTGTAACAAATAATTTTACATTATACAGTAATAATACAATAATGTATCAAGTTTTTTCAGTGTAGAGACCCAGTGTTATTATCTTTATAAGTGAACTTGCTGTGGTTTTGGTTTCATTTTGGAATGAAGCATATTAAAATGTTCATCTAACTTAATCTACTAACTCCATTTTCAGATCTCTGCAGTGTTTATTTAGCAGTTTGCACATTCAAAAGGACAAAAACTCTATGAAACAAACCTTTTTTTGAGTTAAACTTTAACAAAGAAAAGATGATTATAAACACAAAATCTGATTCCACCTAAAGTAATGCAGTAACCATTGTATCATGCTTTATATAATTTTGCAATTATGTATTGTAAAGAACATTCTACATGAGCACAAAATATTTTTTTGAATTTTCACTTTGGGCAAAGTGAAAACAGAATTTTTCTCGTCGGACAAAAGTGTCTGCTAAATTCATTTGTAGATTTCATAATTGTTCTGCATCAAAATTCATAAGATAATAGAATCTTAGAAAGTGTGTTGAAGACTGAAGTGTACAGGGCATGTTTTCTAAAACAAAACACAAAACACTGCATCTATTTAACACAAATACATATTAAACAAAATCCTACCAGTTAAAACAGAGGTTGGACCTGACAGCAGAAACAGAACAAATAATACTTTGCCAATCATGTTCTCAGATGTCCGAGCCATTTTCCTCAAGTTGCATTGACTGCATGAGGTGTGTAAAGTTTTAATGAAAGGTGTAATAAAGTTTGAAACACGTCTTGCAAGATTTTTTTAACATACAAGGAACAAGGAAGATAAAAACAACAAAAACAATGTTCAGTAGAAGCCTGATGATGCTCCAAATAACTCCTTTGTAGTGTCTCTTTCACCAAAGATACTACATTTTTAGTTTATAAGTCTTATGATTATGTCTTCTTCGGTTTTGGTAAGGAGTATTCTGTACCATCAGGCGTCAAGAAAAAGCGATTAATGTTGATGTAAGCAAAGTATATCTACTGTGAGCTCCATGCAAATCAACAAAAAATCTGTTGTTCTGATTCTAAAAATAGAGAAAAATATAAAAACATGAATAAACAATAAAAGTATGTTGAAAATCAGCTTCCTCAATTAGATATCACACAACTGCCACAAATCCGTGTCAGGAAATAAACTTATAGACTAAACTATCACATAATGTCTATTTACCATTCTGCACTCAAAACTCTTATATATATATATATATATATCCTGCTGAAGTACAAGGGCAGCCAGATATATATTTTTCCTGACAACACTCCCGAGGTCGCTGTGCTTTTGGTCCGATCAAGCGAGCTTTACGCGCAACTGGCGTGAAATGGTCGCTGCGCTTTCCAGCAAAACTGATGTTGAATTGACAAGCGAGGTAGAGGACTAATAACATTATTTGTAGAGAGTGGACCCTTTCGAGTTTTTTTTTCTTCTCTCTCTCCATTACTAAAGATTGCTATTTTTATTTTTACATTTATTTGTGTGGCTGCTGTTTTTCTTTTAACAGACCTAGGTAAGATTTGTGCTCTTTGCTTTGTTCTCTTGCTGGCTCCGTGAATGGGGGGAAAATGCTGTTCTGCACTGGGGTATGGGGTGGGGTTGGGGCTGTTACCACATTGTTTTATGTTGCACCAATTGTTTACGCAATTATAAGTTCTCGTGTAAATAAGCTGGATGGGTTTTCTGATGTTTTCTTTCTGATTGTTATATTAATGATTGTTAGAAAAAACAAAATATGAATGTGAGTTTTGTCAGTTGGATTGTAAGAGTAATGGGGCACCCGATAAAACGTGGCAAAGTGTTTGCACATTTAAAGTCTTCTTTATCAGCTGATATAATTTTTCTTTAAGAGACTCATATTAGAGCTAATGAACAGTTAAGACTGCGGGCAAATTGGATCTCTCAATTATATCAAGCAACATTTTCTTCCAAGGCAAGAGGTGTGGCTATTCTTTTCAAAAAGATGTTATTTTATCGGGCTGTATTAACAATGTTCCAATCACATGTGTTAATGTGTATGGGCCCAATATTGATGACCCAGCTTTTCTTAGGAAATTATTTGGACTCCTTCCAGGTACCAATGCTACTAACGTAATAATCGCGGGAGACTTTAATTGTTATTTAGATTCTTATCTTGACCGCTCTTCAGCTCGTGTTCCATCTCCTATCCAGTCTGTTGGGGTTCTAAAAAGTCTTATTAAGTCCATGAATTTTGTGGATGTATGGAGATTACTGAATCCTACTGGTCGGGATTTTTCCTTTTTTTCTCAAGTTCACAAATCTTACTCTCGTATAGATTATTTTATTATTGACTCCAAAATTATAAAAGACGTTGTCCATCTAAATACCATAACATCCTAATTTCGGGTCATAGCCCCGTCTCACTAGGTTTAAGTCTGTCTTTACCAAAGAACCAATATTGTTGGCGTTTTAACCCTAATTTGCTAATGGATAAACAGTTCACCTCATTTCTTTCAAATCAGCTGAGTCAATTTTTAGAGACCAATAATAAAGGAGACGTATCTGACTCATGTTTGTGGGAAACTTGTAAAGTAGTTTTGCGAGGACATATTATTGCTTTTGAATCTGCACATAAAAAGAAAACACGCAAATGACTATTTGAGATTGAAAATATCCTTCCTTCCTTGGAAAAAGCTTTTCAAGAATCCAAAGCACAATCAGACCTTAATCCAATTTTAAAATTGAAATACGAATATAATTCAATTCTGAGTGATCAGGTCTCTAATGTACTATTGAAGCTTTAACAGAAACATTTTGAACTCAGTGACAAAGCAGATACATTTCTTGCTCGTCAGCTTAAAGGGGTGCAGGCCAGTCTTGCCATTCATCAAATAAGAGCTCAAAATGGTGATTTGGTAACGCATCCTAAAGAAATCAATGACTGTTTTACAGAATTTTATAAGCATCTTTATTCTTCAACCAGTTCAGTGATGAGTGACATGGGACACAGCTTTCTCAATAAAGTGAATTTTCCAAAGCTTAGTGAAAGTGCTTAAAAGGAACTAAAACAACCTTTCGATCTTAGTGAAGTTCTGGGGGCAATTAATTCCCTTCCCAGTGGAAAGGCCACAGGTCCAGATGGGTATGGAATTTAATTTTATAAAGCAAATGCATCTACGTTCCTCTCCTGCTTCGTATGTTAAATCATTCAATTGAGCTAAATAGGTTTCCTTACTCTTTATATGAAGTGTATGTGTGTCTTTTGAAAAAAAAAAAAGGCAGAGATGATACTGAGCTCGCTAATTATAGACCAATTAGTCTTCTTAACAGTGATCAAAGGTTATCGCAAAAATTTTGGCTACTCGATTAAACAAACATGTGGATTTATTAATTCATTCCGACCAAACTGGCTTTATTTTAGGAAGATTCTCCTTCTGTAACTTACGCCACCTATGAAACATTTTATACAACAATCAGTCAAAAACATCTAAGGCAGCAATCCTCTCCCTGGACGCAGAGAAAGCCTTTGACCGAATTGAATGGATTTATATGTTTTCTGTTTTAGAGAGATTCGGCTTTGGTGAAAATTTTATCAGGTTGATTAAAATGCTTTACTTGGCTCCTAAGTCTGCAATTCTCACAAATTCTGATCGATCTGCATTTTTTCAGCTACAGCAGGGAACACGACAGGGGTGTTGTTTAAGTCCGCTGCTGTTTGATCTCGCCCTAGACCCTGTTGAAAAAAAAGTATACTAGATTGTATTGCAAATATATTTTTTATTCCAAAAGTACATTGAAAGTATACTAATTAAAAAGTATACTTAATTTAAATATATAAAAACATGTATTATTAACATACTTTTATATATAACTTTTAACACACTTAAAATAATTGTAATTTAGTATAATTTCTAAAAATATATTTTAGAAAAATGCACTTTAATTACATGTTTATTTTTTACAAGTGTATTTATTTAGCATTTGATGGTAATATATTTTAGCATTATTTTAACTGTGCTTTGAAAATTAACTTGTAAGAATGTTCAAAGCACATTATTAAATAAGTTGTTTATTTTGTTAAATTCTATCTATCTGTCTATCTGTCTATCTATCTATCTATCTATCTATCTATCTATCTATCTATCTATCTATCTATCTATCTATCTATTAACCCATTTAAAACATTTGTAAATAGTGTGCAAACATACTGTTGCGAAGGGATGCTATGCAAACTGGGGTAGTTCCAAATGCAGCTTTATTATAAGAATGGTCAATCAGGCAAGGGTCAAATACCAGTACGTATCAGAAGAAGTGCTATCCTGTTGAAGAATTTTCCCTCTCCTGTGGTTTGTAATGTAATGGGCAGCACTAATGTCATTATACCTCAGATGTTGCCATCCACTCTGCAGATCTCTCACACACCCCCATATTGAATGTAACTTCAAATCATGATTTTTCCTTCACCAAACTTGACGGATTTCTGTCTTGGGTCCATTCGGGTTCCAGTAGGTCTTCTGCAGTATTTGTGATGATTGAGATGCAGTTCAACAGATGATTCACTGGAAAAATCTACTAAATTATCAACTAGAAGTCAAGTTATTATTTGTTTTACAACTAAGTTCAATGACAAGATTTTGTCAGGTAGTGTACATATGAACCATTCAAAAGTGTTAGGGTTTTTGTTCAGTGTGATAAAATCAACTCTTTGTAATGAGAAAATATAAGCAGAGCTGCAAAGTAAATCCAAAACTCAACAAATAATATTGCTTTTAAAGCAAAAGTTATACTTCTACAAAAAAAAAAGAAAAAAAAAACTTAAGGAAGATGAATTTGCTATCACATAATTAAATTATGCAACATACATGGTCATTACTAGATCCTCATTTCCTTAATGTTTCACTCATCTCGGTAGGTTCAGGTGTTGATGCTGTGGTGATGGTTTCTTTGGATTCTTAAAATGACAACAAGTATTTTTGTTATTAGTCAACAGAATTTGCAAATGAAATTAGTTTAAAACTATTGACAAGAAACAATCTTTTGGTAATCACACAAAAAATGACATATTTAAAAGCAAATCACTCGCTTAAAGCAGAGGGGCATTAACAAAATTTGAAAATGATGATTTATCTTCAGGTGATTTTATTTTCTTACAAAGTAAATCCTACCTGCTCGTTTATTCTTGCATTTGTGTATGAGGACAGCTGTAAGCACCAACATCAGAGACAGAAGCACCACTACAGGAATCACTATTTTAATTAGGAAACTGGGGTCAAATTCTGCAAAAACGTATTTCAAAGTGAGTCACAAAGATTAGAAACAGTTAAGTGGGATGTTGAATAATTAACCAAGATTACCAAAATCAATATCAAGGATTTTGTCCAGACTAAGGTGTGAGACAGAGCAGGTGTATTTGTGTTTTTCTCTCTCATCTGCTCTGATCTCCAGACTCTTCCTCATCTGGTACGTCCCGTCTCCATTGGGCAGCAGATTTCCTCCAGTGACCTCATGATCAGATACAGGCTGTCCATCCCTTAACAGGGTCAGGTTGATGGAATGGGGGTAAAATTCTGTCGCCAAACAACTCAAGCGAAACCCTCCAGATTTTGGGTGTACTTTCTTAATTAGTCTAACTTTCGGTTGTACTGTGGATAAAATAAAGTATGTTATTCACATGTGGTAATTTTACAATCCTATGTAAATAAAAATCAGGAAAAAAACAAGCTGGAGACCAACCTTTTCCATTTACTTGAGTTTGTCTTTTTTTTAAATAATCTCTGATGGTTGCTATGCAGTTTGGATAACATACGGTCTCATAATGCATCTGGAAAGACTCCAACGGTACAGTTGCCATGTTGTTTTGGCATTGACATGTAAAGTTGTCATTATAAAAACTCACTTCATCTGTAGTTGAGCCACTAAAAGCAATCTTAAAAATAATTTGTCCAGGCTTATCATTGTCCAACAGCTCACAATGCCATGTAATTTGAAAAAGTTGAGGACCTGTCAGTATAGAAAAAAAAGATTAATCTAATGATGTTATTTCAGTTAGGTTTTTGTTTGTAGCTCCTTTAGCTCTATTTTGTTTTAACCCCTTCAGAGCTGAATTGCTTTCCAAATTTCTGAAAAATGGGATGTCATGTGATGTCCATTGTAAAGGACGCAGGGTCTGAAGGGGTTAATTTGCAGGTATAAGGATCCCTATGGATTCCACCAACTGCCCAGTTGGTGGAATGAAGTCCCTAACTGCATCAGAACGGCAGAGTCGCTTGCTGTCTTCAAGAAACGATTAAGAACTCAACTATTTAATCTCCACTTCCCTTCCTAATCTGCAATTGCCTCTCTGCTTCTACCACTAACTGTATTACAAAAAAAAAATTACTAATGTTTTGCTTCTTACACTTTACATTCCTGAATCTTACTGATAACGTATTATACTGATATCATATTTGTTTTCTTTTAGTATGACTGGAGTAAAAGTAGTTCCCCTTCGGGGGGAACTTCAGCACTATAAGTGGATTTGATTTGTAAAATCCACGCATTGGGAGGTTCGGTTCAGAAGCTACTCGTCTGAAAGAGTATTGAACGGGCCAATTAAGAATGAATTGGCAGCGCAAGCCTGCGCAGGTGAGCGGCATAAGCAATCAACTGAGTATATAAGCTCACCTGGCGCCAGCAGACGCTATCCTTTTCGCTTCAGAGACTTTCTGATCGAGTCGATGAGGGTTCCTCCTGCTGTGACCAGCGATTCTGAGCGAACGAGAGCATTCTCCCGGTCCAGAGTGTGTACACGCAGTGGCAGACGGTCGAGCTGGGTTTCTCCCTTGCCTGGCGTTCTTTGGGTCCGGTCCTCCAGAGCGGTGCGTATAAAGTTGCAAACTTCACAGAAAGAGCAACACAGTCGTGCAGCACGTCCTTATCAGGACGGCGCTCCGACTGTGCGTTTCTGGATGCGGTGGTTTCCTGTCCTCGGATGATGGGCGCGGGCACTGCGTTACATGTCTGGGGGTCCAGCATGTTAATGCGCTGCTCGCGGGCAGTTCATGTCGTCATTGCGATGCCATGACTGTTGCGCAAGATCGCGGTTAGCCTTTGCAAAAGGGTGAACCACCCCAGTTGTCCCCTGCTCTGCAGCGGGCACTCGGGCAGATCTGAGGGTTTCAGCGAGAGATAATCCGTCGCCCACGGGCCCGCGGACCTCCCGCTCCTCTAAGCGCTCCATCCAAGCTTCGGGCGGGGGAAGCGATCCGTCTAACAGATGGTAGCCCTTACGCCCGATGACACCGGAGACCAGATGTCCACCGCGGCATCGGAGGGTGGGCTTTCATTGTCCGATGATGATCCAGACCCGCTCGCCCCCTTCGGGCTGGTGAGCGCTGTCACTACGGATCCTGAAACGGACATGTTAGCCGTGCTTTCCCGGGCTGCTTCGGCCGTGGGTTGGAGATGGTTTATCCCCCAGCTCCGCGGCCGGACCGACTAGAGGGGCGTTCCCTTCTTCCCGGAGGTGCACAGTAGGCTCACGCGGTCTTGTAAAGCACTTTTTTCTGCTCGTGCTGCGTGTTCCTCCACCCTAACCACTCTTGACGGTGAAACAGCCAGGGGATATGTGGCGATTCCTCAGGTTGAGTGCGCGATGGCGGTAAATCCGCGCGGCGCCTCTTCTTGGCGGGATCCGCCTCGTCTCCCATCCAAAGCCTGTAAGTTATCTACCTCCCTTGGAGCTAGAGCTTACATAGCTGCGGGCCAGGCTGCTTCCGCCTTGCATGCGATAGCCACCTACTAGCGCTACCAAGCGCAGGCGCTGGCCGAGCTGCACGAGGGTGGGTCCAACCCAGGCTTACGAGCTTCGCACCGCCGCCGACTTAGCTCTTCGGACTACTGAGTCCGCTGCGTGTGCGTTGGGGAGGACGATGTCCACATTAGTGGTCCAGGAGCGCCACCCCTGGCTGATATGCGCAAAGTCGACAAAGTCCGCTTTCTTGACTTCCCCATATCCCCAGCCAGGTTCGGCGACACTGTCTGTGAATTCACCCAGGAATTCAAGGCGGTGAGAGAGCAGTTGGTGGGTGATGTCTTATCGGCGGTCCGTAGCCCGCTCCGCCCGCCGTGCCATTCATACCTGCTCCTCGCCGAAGGCGCCCGCCTACGAGAGCTGCTCCGCCCCCGCACACGCCTCAGGCGAAGCGAGCGCGTCGGGCACCTCGGAAGCAGGCAGCCCCCCTGCCCAGAACGCCGCTAAGTCCGGCAACGGACCGCGAAGCGCCCCTGGGACAGGCCATCTGGAGAAGAGGGAACTTGCTCTTTCCCCGCTGGAGGGCGGGGCCCCATTTCCAACGGCACTTTTTACTGCCATGAAAACATTATGAAAGGGCACTTTTCACTTCCCCAGATGTGACAGCCCGAAATCTGCCAGTCTGGGACGCTATGCTTTCTAGCTTGCAGATTCGGTGCGTTTCGCCAGTGGCTCACGAGCGCTGGGAGGACGGTCTCCTTTCTCCCACCCCTCGAGCCTCCCCTCCGGAGCTCGGGTTTGGAGTGAGAGCAAATATCTCACCCCCAGCTTTTCCGTGGGACCCGCGAGCTTCCCGGATCAGCACACCCACTCCGCGCTGCCCCACTGCTGGTACGTCAACGATTGTAGCGATGAGTCCATTAGCGAGAGCTCTGCCTGCCTGGTTAGCGCGGGCCAGCTCTTCGCGGTGGCTCATACGCACAATCAGACTCGGCTATGCGATTCAGTTCGCGAAACGGCCCCCCAAGTCACGGGTGTGTATTCACCAGGGTCAGCCCCCTGTCCGCCCCTGTCTTGCGAGAGGAGATTGCTGTCCTCCTGGCGAAGGATGCAATCGAGCCGCTCCCTCCAGCCGAGATGGAGAGTGGGTTTTACAGCCCACGCTTCATCGTGCCCAAAAGAGCGGTGGGTCACGGCCAATCCTAGATCTGCGCGTTTTGAACCGCTGCCTGCACAAGCTGCCGTTCAGAATGCTCACGCAGAAGCGCATCCTCCGGTGCGTTCGTCCTCTGGGTTGGTCTGCAGCATTAGACCTGATGGACGCGTATTTCCATGTCTCCACTCTTCCTCGCCACCGACAGTTTCTGCGGTTTGCGTTTGAAGGTCGAGCTTGGCAATACAAAGCCCTCCCCTTCGGGCTCTCTCTGTCTCCGCGGGTCCTCACCAAGCCCGCGGAGGGTGCCTCATCGCCCCTTCGGCTCGCGGGCATCTGCATACTCAATTACTTTACGACTGGCTGATTTTTGCCCTCTCTCAGAGCAGTTGATTATGCACAGAGACAAAGTGCTCTGGCACTTCCACCTGTGGGGGTTTCAGGTCAACCGAGAAAAGAGCAAACTCGCCCCCGTGCAGAGGATCTCTTCTCTCGGGCTGGAGCTGGACTCGGTCACCATGGCAGCGCGCCTCTCCGGAGAGCGCGCTCAGCTGATGCTGTACTGTCTGAGAGAGCTCGGCAGTAAAATAGTGGTCCCACTGAAACTATTTCAGAGGCTCCTGGGGCATATGGCATCCGCAGCCGCTTCATGCCGCTCGGATTATTCTATATGAGACCACTTCAGCACTGGCTTCACGATCGAGTCCCCAGACGCGCATGGCACGCGCGCGCACACCGAGTCTCTGTTACTGCGCTGTGTCGCCGCGCCCTCAGCCCTTGGAGCGACCCCTCGTTCCTACAGACCTGGGTGTCTCTAGAACAGGCGTCCAGTCTTGTTGTCGTTTCAGCAGACACTTCCAACACGGGCTGGGGGGCTGTGCGTTGCGGGCATGCGGCTGCGGACCTGTGGAAAGGTACCCAGTTGCATTGGCATATCGCCTGGAGCTGTTGGCAGTGTTCCTCGCTCTCCACCGTTTTTTTCCGGTGCTGGAGCGGCAACACGTGCTGGTCAGGACGGACAGTACGGCGGCGGTGGCGTATATCAGCCGTATAGGGGGTATGCGCTCTCGCCGCATGTCTCAGCTCGCCCGCCGTCTGCTCCTCTGGAGTCATCCGCGGCTGAAATCGCTGCACACCATTCATATTAAGGCAAGCTCAACCGTGCAGCCGATGCGCTCTCACGGCAGCCTTGCGTCCTGGAGAATGGAGACTCCACCCCGAGTCTGTTCAGCTGATATGGGCGCGATTCGGGGAAGCCCAGATCGATCTGTTGCTTCCCCCGAGATCGCTCATTGCTAGTTGTTCTTTCCCTGACCGAGTGCTCTCGGCACGGATGCACTGGCTTACAGCTGGCCTCGGTGCACGCGCAAATACGCGTTTCCCCCAGTGAGCCTGCTCGCGCAGTTACTGTGCAAGGTCAGGAAGAGGACGAGGAACAGGTTGCTGGTTGCGCCCCTCTGGCTCAACCGGACCTGGATGTCAGAGCTCTCCCTCGCGATAGCCCTCCCCTGGCAGTCCCTTCGAGAGAGCACCTACTCTCTCAGGGACAGGGCACCACCTGGCACCCTCGCCGATCTTTGAAGAGATTTTAGACGCGAGGAAGACTTAGGTAACCTCCGATTGCGGTGGCTAATACCGTCACTCGGGCTAGAGCCCCCTCCCCGAGCGCGCCTATGCCCTGACGTGGAGTCTATTCACTGAATGGTGTGTCTCTCGCTGAGAAGACCCCCGTAATTTGCCAGATCAGCGTTGTGCTTTCTTTACGCCGAGAGAAGCTGGAGAGCAGGCTGTCGCCCTCCACACTCAAGGTTACGTGGCTGCCATCTCCGCTCTCATAACGCGGTGGCTGGCAGCACCGTGGGAACGCATAACCTCATCATCCGGTTCCTCAGGGGCGCTAAGCGAATTAATCCACCCCGCCCCCTCTCATGCCCTCTTAGGATCTCGCCCTCGCTACACAAGCCGCGTCAGATCCCTTCGATCCTCGACTCAGTATCTTTCTGTCCCTGAAGACAGCTCTGCTGGTCGCGTTGATATCGATTAGAGGGTCGGGGACCCGGAGGCATTTTTCGGTCAGTGACTCGTGCCTGTAATTGGGCTGGCTTCTCTCACGTCCTGAGACCCCGCCCGCGATATGTGCCCAAGGTTCCTACCACTCCGTTTTAATACGAGGTAGTGAGCCTGCAAGCGCTGCCCTCGGAGGAGGCAGACCCAGCCCTTCTTTATTGTCCAGTTCGCATTTTGCGTATTATCCGGACCGCACTCAGAGTTTAGATAATCTGAGCAGCTCTTCGTCTGTTATAGCGGTCGGCAGCAGGGAAGTGCCGTACCGAAATAAGTTCCCACTAGATTGTGGATGCCTTTCTTTCACTATCAGGGCCGAGATGAGCCGCGTCCCCCGAGAGCGCGTGCGCACTCCACTCGGAGTTTCGTATCCTCTCGAGCGCGCGCACGCGGCGCCCCTCTAACAGACTTCTGTAGAGCTGCGGGCTGGGTGACACCCAACACATTTGCAAGGTTTTACAATCTGCGAGTGGAGCCGGTTTCCTCAAGGGTATTAGGTAACCCTTGGTGATTGAGGAAACAATTCGGTAGGGTGTTGAAACACGCTTGCTGCGCCATTTTCCCTAACACGGAGATACGTGCGCCTTTTTATCTGTCAGTAAAGTTCCCCGTCAGGTGAGCCCTGCAGATTCCTCCGTGGCCCCCAGCACTGACTCAGCGGAGGAGTCACTTGCTGGCCCACTACGTTGTAGGTCTGCCCGCTGGTCAGCCCGCGTTTTGGGTAAAGGTGCCTGCTATGCGTGATCCCCACTAGGCGATCCCATATGCTTATTCCGCCACGGTTAAGTCCCCCCCCTGGGCGGACCCGTGTCTTCCCTCCCCGCTAACCACTCTTTTGCTATGCGTACTCCCCCTTTTAGGGCTAGTCCATATGTAAATTCTGCCATCTATCCCCCCTCGGGTAACGGATGGCCTCCGCAGCGTCCTCCCTATCGGGATTGCACGCTTCCCAACGTACTGTCGTATTTTCCTAGAATTATCTAGATGCTCACGACTTCCCAAAAAAATATATCTAAATCCGTAAAACTTCTGTTGAAGTAGGATAAATTAGGGCCAGGGACACGTTGGAGGACCGCGCCCCCCATGATGCGGGTGCGTCACGCTTGCTTGACTATCTCCTCATCGGGGGTGTTGGTAAGGTGCAGTCATTATGGCGCTTTCAATGGGCTCCCACTGCGTGGATTTTACAAATCAAATCCACTTATAGTGCTGAAGTTCCCCCCGAAGGGGAACGTTCGAGGTTACTAAAGTAACCCTTCGTTCCCCGAGGAGGGGAACGGAAGCACTATACTCCGTCGCCATAATGACTGTCCCTTAGCTGTTGAAAGTCTCTTCAGCTTAAAAAGGATAGCGTCTGCTGGCGCCAGGTGAGCTTATATACTCAGTTGATTGCTTATGCCGCTCACCTGCGCAGGCTTGCGCTGCCAATTCATTCTTAATTGGCCCGTTCAATACTCTTTCAGACGAGTAGCTTCTGAACCGAACCTCCCAATGCGTGGATTTTACAAATCAAATCCACTTATAGTGCTTCCGTTCCCCTCCTCGGGGAACGAAGGGTTACTTTAGTAACCTCGAACGTTTTCAAATCTTTTAAAATAATCTCTAAGATATATTATTAGCCCCTTTAAGAAAGGGGGAGAACAAATATGGCGCACTAATTTGAAAATTAGCAATTTCAGACATAGATTGTGTATTATCAGCTTCTGACAATTTGATCTCCAATATGATAATTGAACTTACTTTCTGTACCGTTCTTAAACGTTAGTGTTGACATCATAAAGGGCTCCAACGTATTTTGTATTACAGTAAGCACATCAGAAACAGCCTCATCTTCATTTGTCGTATTATCCCGTGGAATGAACTCCTTTGTTTCAGAATTATAGAATCCTACTCTCAAGTCGTCTAGCATGACTGTGAAACTTAGTTTAGGAAATTGAGTTTCTCCTTTAATGTAAGTTCCAAGCAACCACAGTGAGTGAGAATCTGTGGAAAAGGAACAGCCATTTTAAAATATTGTGACCTAAGCTTGAAAAAAGCTTAAAACCAAATTAAGATCAAAACTGGGTTACACTCCCATCTCTCCAACCAGGAACTAGTTAGAAATCTACTGATTCACATTTGCTAAGAAGATTTGAATGAAAATACAAATACTCTCCCATTCCCTGGTCTTCTTTATAACATAATAAAACATATTTGTCATATTACATAAATTTGTTAACAGAGCCTTTAAAGGCAGTTCACTCAAAACGGAAAATTCTGTCAACATTTATTCACCCTTACACCATTTCAAAAACCGAGTTTCCTTCTTCTGTTGAACACAAAATAAGATGTTGTGAAGAAAGCTGAAAACATTATGTATTCTGCAACTTTATGTATTTCTGTCCGGTATTTGTTTTTCCTACAATGGATGTCAATGATGTGTTTTCACTGTCAATAATGTCAATGTTTTTCAGCTTTCTTTAAAGGATCATCTTTACTGTTCAACTGAAAAAAGAAACTCAAACAGGTTTGTAACCACTCGATAGTGAATGAGCATTGTTACCCTTCATTTTTGGGTAAACTATCCCTTTAAACACTAACAAAGCAAAGTGTAAGGGGGGTTCTAAATACCCATCCCTCAATTACTAACATCTAGAATTTGTCCCATATATGAGCTCATTTGTCCTATTTTCACTGCTATGCCATATTAAATTGTGAAAATAATCGGTTGAAACAAGGCTTTAACACCAAGAGGAATCCTGTGTTGGCTGCTGCATCAGCGTGACTGAGGAAAGCTGAATGTGCTGGCCAGTTTGCTATTTAAATGAATAATATTTAAATGACAATAGGCTAGTTTAAATTTAAAACTTTATCACCCGGTTTCACAGACAAGGTTTAAGGCTAGTCAAGATTAAATTGCATGTTTGAGCTGTATGAACTCAAAATAACTTGCAGTGAGATGTCTTAAAATTTGTCAGTGTCCTATTTTATCACCAGATGCACACCAGTAATATATTTTTCTAAGGCCATTTTTATAAATGTGGCTTAAATAGCCTAATTTAACTAAGGCCTAGTCCTGGCTTAATCTAAGCCCTGTTTGTGAAACTGGGCCTATAAGATTTCTATTTTTTTGTTTGTAATGATATACGGTGCAATTGATGTATATGTGATTTATATGATGTAAATGACAATTGACGTAAATCTGTTTTGGTACATCAAAAAGTGTGGTTATCCAACAAGCTAATACAGCAAAAAAAAATGTTCCTAAATTGTCACTAAAATGCTATTTAAACCTTATAAATAAATAGAAAATGAGACGAATAACTGAAAAAAAATGTCCACTTTTTAAGAAAAAAGAACCACCTCTTTCACCGGGCTGTCTATGGACCTGTTAAGAGTATTAGGGCCTACTCACACTAAGCCATCGTAACGTGCCCAGGCCCGTTTCCTGGATCGTTTGAGAAGTGTGTGCGCGCTGAATCGGACTCAAGCACGGTTCACTTGGTCAGCCCTGGCCCAGTTGGAAGAGGTGGGCCTGAGCATGGTTCACTTGGGCTTTGGCGCGGTACGTTTGTAGTGTGAGTGCAAAACGGGCCAAAGCCTGAAACTGAAAGCGAGACGTGACTTTTAAGGGATTGTTTCAAATGGATTTATCAATCATTTTTACTGTTTAGTGAATGCAAACTGCCGTAGTTTATTAAAGACGCAAACCTCTCACTGCACGACAGCTGTGCACCTTCAGCAGATCTCCTCATTCCTGCAGCATGAGAGCATTATGATTATAAGCGCCAAAAGTAGCGGATCTGTTCAGCGAAATAGGAAGAAGATAAGGACTGTTTGGCAAAATATTTGACTGCATGTCACTGCATATCAAACAACTGCAACAATATAACTAGAGAAATCTCCACTGTGCCTGCTGAGTGAGAGAGCGCTTCTCACTGAACAGCACAGCAACGATGACGTAAGCGTGCCGAGGACCGATTGTGGTGTGAGTGCGGGCCACAGGGGGAGACAGGAGGGCGGACAAGCATGCTTTGGCCCGGTTCGAGGCAACTGTACCTAGTGTGAGTACGGCCTTAGTCAGCTGGGTGAGTTAACAATTGCAATCACAGATAGATTTAGACAAGATCATTGATCACAAAACAAAACCACATTTTTTCTCAGACTAATCCTCGAAGGAGAGAGTGCCCTCACAGAGAGACCCATTCACCAAAAAGCCAAAAAAAAGAGTGAGAGATCGCCATTGCATTTAGGGCTGGCTTTTTTAAGCACTACGCCAACAAGCGTTGTGGCGTGATCCCAGCATCAGCATCCAATGTCATCAGCATGGAATGTGGATCCTCTAATGTTGTTTATACCTGTAAACAGACATGTAAAACTACACACCCACACACAAACAGGAGCACACACACATAACCCCAAAAAAGTTCTGCCAGGGAAAGTAACAGTGACAATTGGATTGAAAGTTTATAATCTTTTTATTTAATGTGTGGTATACCACTTCTCTTTGCTTTTGTTTTTCTTTAGTTTTATGTTTTTCTTTTTTCAAAATGTTTTCTTTTCGTTTTTCAATTTTTATTTATAAGGTACTGTGAAGGGATAATATTAATAAATGATAATAATAACATATATATATATATATATATATATATATATATATATATATATATATATATATATATATATATATATATATATATATAATTGAATTGAAAGTTTGCAAATCTATTAATTAGACTATTTTCTGATGCAGGCAAAACATTTTCAGGATATTGAAAATCAGGAGCACATTTGGGTAGTTATAATTACTAAAACATACAGTGTAATGCTTGGGCTGAAATTGCTGTTCAAGAGGAATGTTTATCTCAAAAGATATTGAAGTCAGATAACAAACACGCTATGATATTTCACAGCCTATTTTTAACTTAGGCCAGTTTTTGCAAAATACTGCTCACTAAGCTAGCAAAACAATATTTTACATTTAAGTGAGTTTATTTTTTATTTGAGCAGAGTAAATATTTTGATTAATGTTAAATTGCATTTTTTTTTTCAGTTTTAAACAAAACAAAACTATAATGTGAGGACAATGTATAAATAGAGCTAAAACAAATTACATTAATATTATTATTATTATTATTATTTTATTATTTGTTTGTTTATTTTTTGTTAGGTCCAAAGCAAAATTATACTTTGATCTAAGAGTAAAAAAGATAAATCCAAAATAAAAATCTTTATAATATAGTAAACAATATTTTGACTAGTTTGAACCAAAGTTAGAAGATTTTTTCTTTTTTCTTCTCAAACCAAGTTTGAGAAGAAACAAAACATTTTAGCAATAACAAATTACAGTAATTTAAGTTGGTTCAAATTATAGTTTTTTCAGTGTAAAGACCAGACTCCCAGTATTTTATTATCTTGATGAGCGCATTTGCTGTGGTTTTGGTTTAATGTTGGAAAGCTGTAAAATGTTCTTCTAATTTCAGACTAAATCCATTTTTAGGTCTAACAAAAATTTAAAAGAAGATTATAAAATGTAAAATACAAAACACTGCATACCTGTTAAAACAGTGGTTGGAGCTGACAGCAGAAACAGGACAAACAATACTTTGCCAGTCATGTTCTCAGATGCACAAGCTATTCTGCTGAAGTTGAATTGATTGCTTGTGGTGTATAAAGTTGCAGTAAAAGTTGTCTAAAAGTTTTGGAACAAGTCTTACAAGATTTTTTTTTTAACAAACGAGGAACAAGGAAGATGAAAATAAAACTAAACTAAAAAAAGGTTCAGTAACAACCTGAGGACGCTCCAAATAACTCCTTTGTAGTTTGGGTGTGTCTCTCCTTCACCAAAGGTAGCCTACTACATTTTTACAGTTATAAGTGTTATGATTATGTCTTCTTTGATTTGATTAAGGAGGAACCTGTGACATCAGGCACAAGGAAAAGTGGTTAACTATGTTGATGTATGTCCAGTATAGCTATTCTCCAGGTCCAGCAAATCACCAAAAAATTCAGATTCTAATATTTTCAAGATAAAAACCATCAACAAACAATAAAAAAGTATGTTGAAAATCAGCTTCTGATCAGATATCACACAATCGCCACAAATCGTTTTCAGGAAAATAACTTATAGGCTAAACTGTCACATATTTTCCTTTAGCCAGTCCGCACCCAAACTCTTTAGTTTGTAATAATTTTGTTCTTAAAATGGCTTTTTAAAAAATTCAAAACTGCTTTTATTCTAGCCAAAGAAAAACAAATAAGACTTTCTCCAGAAGAAAAAAATATTATCAGACATACTGTGAACATTGCCTTGCTCTTTTAGACATCATTTGGGAAATATTTCAAAAATAATTATGACTTCAACTATACACACACACACACACACACACAATCTGATGGAAAATGAACATCCCTATATGCCCTACTCCCTACAAATGGAAGAACCTTTGATGGATTGAACGTGATTGAATGACTTACAAGAGCTCTTTATGAGAAGATTCAAACATTTTAATACTGCACCCATATGCAAAAATACATTTGTACATGAATAAAAATACTACGGGGGGTCATCTGCAAGTTTTTGAAAACTATACTATATTATACTATACTATACTCTGTCTCAGTGTTAACTAAAAAATTGAGATCATTTATTGGAGAGTACTAATTGTTTTAATGCATTTATGTTAGTATAATTTTTTTATTATTATTATATTGTTACTTACATTGCTAGCTTTTTTCTTTTCACCACACTCAGTGACAGTGACAGTACTAAGGCAATAACCTGCTAAAATGTTCCCCCTGGATACTCGCAAACATATTTTTTATAATAAACAAAAAATAACTCAATTGAATTTATATTGTAAGCTCACCATACTTATGTGTTTACAGTACTACTCAAAGCTATGCAGTACATATTATGTGATACTCATTATTAGCATAGAGCTAGGGCCCAGTTAACAAAAGGGCTGAAGCCTATTGCACATGGAAGAAATATAAATTCTCTAGTGGCTGCAGATAACGGACAGGTTATGTAAATGTGAATTACAAATTAAAGTAATCTTTAACATATACACACACAAAAAAACAAAACAATTGAAAGTAAAGAAAGCTACAGTAGAGGGTGTGAGAAAATAATGAGGCTCTGTTTTGGTGACACTGGTTTACAGCAAAGATTACAGGTAATAATTGAGGCAAAGAGTGAATCAACCAAGTATAAAAAGTTGTAAAAGTTGTGTAAATATTTAGAAAAGTAGTTGTTGTTTGTTCTGACGCAGTTTAACTGCAAAGAATTGAGTCCTTGTATTTTATGACCATTTTGTATTGTGTTTTGCATTGTATTTGCACTACATCCTTTCACTACAGAAAAAAATGCCACTGAGAGCGGAGTGATATGACACGGTGCATAAATGTGCATTAAACACAGTTTTTCAGTTATTTAGCAGTCTACATGTGTTTATTGCCTCATAACAAACAAACATGGAAAAATTCACAATATACACCTTAACAAAAGATAATATTGACAAACGTATAAACGGCATATTCTGCATATATAATCCGGTGCTTTTGTAGACTGTGACTGGCAGTAACCCTACACCACATGGCTGCAAGGAAAGGTCTTGTCGACTCATTCAAGAACAAACAAGTTCACACAGCTCTACCAATGAAATCTATAACATTCTGAAACTTTTCCCTCCACTCCAAATTGCTTAACATAAAGACAACTCCACCACCAATCATCCGTATACATCACTTCTATGGAGTCAACAAAACACTGAATACAATTATACATATGTGTTTTGCATTAATGTTTTTCATTAGCAATAATATGAATAATGGAAATTGCTTGTAAACAGTATTAAGAGTATTGCTCCTGACATGTAAACATTATCTTACTATTAAGCCCTTAATGGTTATTGGAAATAATCGCAATATTTGTGGACATGTAAATGAAGTCATTGTTTTCTTTGAGTGTACTCTATCAAAGTGTATTCTATTTTCTTTGACTGTACACACACCACTACTGCTATTTGGCATTCTGTGTCACTAAGCAATAAGACTACACTACATATACATATATAATAAGTTTATAAATTTATTTCTTTTCTTGTCGGCTTAGTCCCTTTATTAATCTGGGGTCGCCACAGCGGAATGAACCACCAACTTATCAAGCACGTTTTTACGCAGCGGAGGCCCTTCCAGCCACAACCCATCCCTGGGAAACATCCATACACACTCACTCACACACATACACTACGTACAATTTAGCCTACCCAATTCACCTGTACCGCATGTCTTTGGACTGTGGGGGAAACCTGAGCACCCAGAGGAAACCCACGCAAATGCGGGGAGAACATGCAAACTCCACACAGAGTTTGACCCAAATCAACTGAACCATCCCCAAATCATAATTGGCTTCACCACTCTGTCTCCTCCAGTCACATTATACACTCTTAATAAGCTATAAATATCTAAATATCTGGTAAACAGTTACAAAGTAGCAAATCAGACACTCAATAAAGCATAAAACTTTGAAGCAGAACGATAAATAAACCATTCAACAGTGTCAGGTTTCCGTTCACTGTAATAAAAGCTTGAGTGCATGTGTCCCCATATTTGTAATGGGAAAATAAAGAAACTAAATCCAAAATTCAAAAAATAATATTGCTTTTGAAATTATGGCTAAATGAAGAGTACAAAAACTTACAGAAGATAAAGTCGCCATCACATGAAGTACAAACATGAATAGATTTTAGGTTTAGTTCTCTTTTTACTTTCGCTAACATTGATATTTGCAATTTACAATTTTGTAAGGGGAAGAGTTTATTTTTGTTTTTCATTTTTTTATGTTTCACTCGTCTCAGTAGATTCTTGTTGTGGTCCATGTGTTGCTGTCATGCCAATGCTTTCTTCAGATGCTAAAAAAGAAATTAGTTTTTGATTTAACAAAAACTAATATAAATGATTCAAAAAACATATTGAAGTAATCACACAAAAAATACAAAAAACAAATCACTCGAAGCAGAGGAATAATGCTCTTTAGATGAAGCTACAATAAATGAAAATTTTGTGGGGAAAATCAATAGCTTGTTGATAAACAAATTTATTTTGTTATTAAGTGAATCTTACCTCGTCTCTTCCTGCATTTAAATAAGACAAATCCAGTTATAAACACCAACACTAGAGACAAAACTATTAACACAGCAGGAATCACTGATTTAAATGGTTCTCCAGGATCAAAATCTGCAACAAACAAATTCAAAACAAAAAGATCACAAACAGATTATAAATGCAGTTCAGATATTTTTATGATTTATTTTTACACCTAATTACCTAAAGGTACAATAAGTTTGTTGTCCAGACTGAGGTGTGTGGCAGAGCAGGTGTATTTGTTTTTTTGTCTCTCCTCTGCTCTGATCTCCAGACTCTTCCTCATCTGGAACGTCCCGTCTCCATTGGGCAGCAGATCTCCTCCAGTGACCTCATGATCAGATACAGGCTGTCCATCTCTCAACAGGGTCAGGTTGATGTGACGAGGGTAAAACCCAGTCGCCAAACAGCTCACTTGAAAACCTCCAGAATCTGATGCTTTCTGAATAAGTCTGACTCGCGGTTTCACTGCAGAGTAAAATAATATAACAGAACAGAACAACTAAAATATATTTTAAAAATGTTAGAGCTTTACCTTTGTTTTTTACTTGAGTTCCTCTTTTCTCAAGGAAATACTTTAGAAATTTATGGCAGCATTGGTAGATTATAGTTTCATGTATGAATTTGCACCACTCTAAATATACTTGTGTCATTTCTTTTTTGCCCTTATGTGTAAATGTATTGTCCAACAATTGTATTTCTTCTGTGGTGGTGCCTCCAACAGCAATCTTTGTTATCAGCTTTCCAGGTTTGTTATTGTTTGACCATTTAATTAGTGTCATCACTTGATACACCAATAGACCTGTGAAAATGTGTGATACAATCTGATTAACCTCTTAAAGTTCTAAGAATTGTTTTAAACAAAGGTTTAAATACATTTTAACTCTTAAAAATTTTAACATAATTAATATGGTCAAGGCGGTTCATTCTGCTGTGGCAACCCCTGATTAATAAAGAGATTAAGAAGAAGGAAAAAAATTAATGAATGAATAAAATGGTCAAGTAGAACTTACACTAAAGGCAGAATTCATCAAAAATGTCAAATTCTGTCATCATTTACAGTATTCACCTTCCTCTTGTTCCAAACCTATTACATTACAATAAACATGTTTAATAAAAGTAGAAAGGTAAGGTACACGTACTTTCCGTTTTGTTCTCAGATCTTTTTTTTTTTCAAGAAATGGGTGCAAAATCTCCTTCATTTCATTACTTATATAAGAAATCATTTCATCTTCAACTGTATTATTTTTTCGAGGAATGTATGTTCCCATTTCTGAATTATAATGTCCTACTGTGATGTCATCCAACTGAAATGTGACACCAAATTCAGGAAATGGCGTCACACCATCAGTTCGGGTTGCAAGCACCCATAAAGTATGAGAACCTGTAAAATAACAACAACAAAAAACTAACTACAGTATTTTTCTTAGTAAATTGCATTTTAACCCAGCACTGACACACTAAGATTTGACTTTTTAATTTTATATTATGCAGGTACGGGGCCTATGTGTGTAGCCTGTGTGTGATCGTGTGTGCCAATGCCCCCACATGTGGTTTGTCTAATCATGTAAGAAATCGTTTCATATGGCGAAGCAGTGGCGCAGTAGGTAGTGCTGTCGCCTCACAGCAAAAAGGTCACTGGGTTGCTGGTTCAACCCTGGGACCAGTTGGCGTTTCTGTGTGGAGTTTGCATGTTCTCCCTGCATTTGCGTTAGTTTCCTCTGGGTATTCCAGTTTTCCCCACAGTCCAAAGACATGCGGTACAGGTGAATTGGGTAGGCTAAATTGTCCGTAGTGTATGAATGTGTGTGTGGATGTTTCCCAGTGATGGGTTGCGGCTGGAAGGGCATTCCGCTGTGGTGACCCCGGATTAATAAAGGAACTAAGCCGACAAGAAAATGAATAAATGAATGAATCGTTTCATATATGTATATATATATATATATATATATATATATATATATATATATATATATATATATATATATATATATATTAGGGATGCTCATTTCGGTTAATTTTGCTAACCGACAACCGCCGCTCATTAATCGGTTATTAACGGTTAACTAGTCAGATTACTATTAATTTTATATTAAACAAATTGACGTGTCTATTTTGTGTCTGACACATTAAATATTGCATAAAATACTGATTTATTTTTATATGCTAGCATATTAATAATAGAACAATACAACAGAGCATTTTCACGCACCTGCAGTGTTTAGTACAGAAGAACAGAATAAACTAAATAAAATGAATAAAATAAATAGGACTGCCCTAAATTATTTTCCACTTAAATAATTAATTTATATTACAAATCGAAAACACTGACTGATTATTTTTAATAACCGGCATAGGCTGTTTTTTTTCCAATCATATTTTTGTCTTCCGTCAAATAAAATAGCAGACTTCCTCAAATCGCCCGCTCCACGGAAAATATGCATTTATTTAATGCTCCGCTTGTATTATTATAATCACAAAACCTTTTTACATTTTTAATAGAAATCATTATTTTAAAGATTATGGCTTGACGGGGTATCCTTTCTCTCCATCGCGGTTCAAGTGCGCGCGCTGCGTGATGAAAAGACAACAACACGCGCGCATATGTTGACTTTTTGTAAACAGTTTTTTTGTTTAAATATGATAATGCATTAATGTGCATACATGCTTTATAAGCTGTCAAATAAAAGGTAAAGCCTATTTGTTGCGTTTATGATGCAGATCCAGGTCAACATCAGCGCTTTTTTTGGCATCAACACGTCTGTTTCAAGCAATATTCTTCTTCCATTTTGCTTCTTTGGCAAATGTGTCTGTAGGCACGGGTTATATGTTATCGTCCCGCAAGTTAAGTATGTCTTGCAGTTGAACAAGTGACCGACCACAGCTAACGTGCTTTTTTCATTCCAAAAATGCGAGGCGCACCTGCCTTTATGTTGACAAGGAAAAAAGAAGAGAAGAGGCGTGGTCCTCTTATGAAACGACTGAATCAGCTGGGTATCGATTGTGCAAAAGTGTTGCTGTATATGTTGATAAAATTGTAATGTTTAATAATATTATGATATTCAAGATTTGTACATTCATACAGCTCTGGATAACTTAAAACAGCGATTAGACCTTCAGAGCGGCAATAATGCGTCCTGAAGTAAAGCGAAATGGCTATAAACTCCAGCATGATAGAGTGATTATATGCAGAGTCATACTTTATCTATAAATAAAGTATAACTATAGAAACTGTGTTCATCTTAACTGAAAGCTTCTGTGTGTTTGCTGGCCTCACCCATCGCGCACCTGTCAGTCAGTCAGTCAGCACGTAACCCCAAAGGATTAAACAATAGCACACAGCACTATACTGGTACAAAAAAGTTTGCGCTGTTATAATCCACTTACCTTTTAATACGTTTTGATGTGATTATAATCCGCTATTAAAAACAACAACAACAATAACTGAATGTTTTGAAAGGGTAATGTAGCCGTGGCGGGATGCATTTTGTTCCCCCCCATGGAAGAATGAATGTAGCGGAAACCAAGCTCTTTAAAAGTTCTCTGTAGTTGTCTTGACAACACAAACTGCTGCTCTGGGTTGAGCCGCGTGCAAAAGATGCCCCTCTTAACGCAAAGGCGCATTCAATCGGCCACTTACGCAGCCAAACTAAAAATAAATAAAATAATAATTTTAATCGTTTAACTGATAGCATTAATCGGTCACAAACGCACCCTTTCGGTTAACGGTTAATCGATTATTTTGAGCATCCCTAATATATATATATATATACACACACACACACACACACTCACACTAGGTTTTCTAAACGTTCTAAATGTAACTGTAATAAACCCAAGAGCATTGAGTACCTAAATTAAACCAAGCAATACAGTTTAAAATAGTTTTAATAAAATAAGCAAACATTTATTCATGCAGAATGTAAAAACCTACCTGCTAAAATAGTGACTTGAGCTGACAGCAAATATAGAACTAATAATAATTTATTCATCTTGTTTTGAGGCTGTTAAAACTTGTTGCTCTCTAAAGTCACTTTCATTCCATTATGTGAAACCAGGGGCGTTGCTAGGGTCGAAAGGGATAAGGGGCTTAGCCCCAAACACCCCCCCCCCCTCCAAACCAAAAAAACCCCCACTTTCATAAGTTGATCTACTCTAATCTTAATAATAGGATTAGAGATGGTTTAATGATAAATAAAGGGTTTTTGAGTTGACAGTCTATAACAATAAATTGTGAAGCTTTGTGACTTGTAACACCAAAAAGGAAAAAATTGATAAATTACCCACTTCTTATTTACTATTCTGTTATGAGCCATATCATGCCCCTTGAGCCTCCCATCTCCTGTCCTGATTTGTAGTTTCTGTTTGTTTTTTGAAAATAAAAATTTCTGCATGTCTTCAAATCTGAAAATATGATTTATTTTATAGACCAAGTTGTTATCCAATGTGATACAAAGCTACACACGTTTATTTGGACAGAGTGATTAACTGAGGGGTAGTGTTGTCAAGATACTGGAATTTCTAAATTCAATACCTCGCAAAATATTGATATTCAATGGGCTTTTTTAAAAACAATTGTATCAAAAATAGTACAAAAAAATAAAGATTTAAATGCTAGAAATGTGTTTACTTCAAATTTCTTTAGAGGGAGATTTTTAGTTTTCCTCAAAATAGGTTGATGTGGGCATTGCAGCACTTTGAATGCATGTAATGCCTGTTTCATTCACACTTGAGCAGAAATTCCATATATGCCTCACAAAAGTAGTAGAATATTCCAGGAAAACCCTAATATTATGGATGAAGGAATCCAGCTATTGCTGGAGTTGAATGAAAATTAGATCTGAATAAACATAAAAAAAGGCTTAAACTGATCATTTACACGACTGTGACAATAAATGTAGATGAAGTCAGAATTATTTGCCCCCCTTTCAATTTTTTTCCCTATTTTAAATATTTTTAAAATGATGTTTAACAGAGCAAGGAATTTTTCACAGTATGTCTGATAATACTTTTTCTTCTGGAGAAAGTCTTATTTGTTTTATTTCGGCTAGAATAAAAGCAGTTTTACATTTTTAAAAAACCATTTAAGGGTCAAAATAATTAGCCCCTTTAAGCTATATTTTTTTCCGATAGTCAGCATAAAAAACTATCGTTATACAACGACTTGCCGAATTACCCTAACCTGCCTTTAAATGTCACTTTAAGCTGTATAGAAGTTTCTTTAAAAATGTCTAGTCAAGTATTACTTACTGTCATCATGGCAAAGAGAAAATAAATCAGTTATTAGAGAGGAGTTTTTAAAACTGTTATGTTTAGAAATGTGTTAAAAAAAATAAACAAGGGGGCTGGGGGCATTAGGTATTTTCATAAGAAAGTCGATTTATAATCCGCTGCTAACTGACAAAGCATGTTACTGTAGAATATAGCCATAAAAAAATATGCTAGATACATGAACTCACTGTGATTTAACTATTACAGAAACAGATGTGACTGGCTATATCATATCTAGATAAAAATGTCTATATATCTATCTATATATATATATATATATATATATATATATATATATATATATATATATATATATATATATATATAGAAACCAAGTACAATTTACATTTTTCTGAATAATTCGCATGTATTTACATTAATGTGCAGCACATTTTATTGATTACCTACAGTTATGTTATTTCACCAAAACTACACACATTTTCTGCTCTAAAAACAAATATTAAGCTCCATCTGTAACTTAGCTAGAACTATTCAGTTTTGCGAAACAGTTGTATTATTACCTCATCAGCTTCAGCTGCTCAAAATAATGAATGATGTGCATTGGCGGAGTATTTTTAAACCATGTGACAACAGAGCCACTCCCACCTGCCGGTAGAAACAGGTACTGCTGAATAGATTACTTTTTAAATACCCGACACAAACGCTGCTTTAGGTAGAATACGCGTGACATACACGTTTTAATTGTCAGAACTTTGATAACAAAATAATTGTTATACAACCTATTTTTTATTTAAGTGAAACATATTCCAAAAGATCAAGGGCTTTTGTCAATACATCAGGGGCTTAAGCCCCCAAAGCCCCGCCCTCGCAACGCCCCTGTGTGAAACAAGTCTTTCTGCATGTTTTACCACAAGGTGTTGCTTACATCATGCACAGAGGAGGAACTTGAAATGAGGGTAAAGAATACATAGTTTTGTTATGTGTTGTGTGACATTTATTGTAGACATTTTGCAGCATTTTGAAGGAGTGAATTAACTTATTTTATTTTATGTAAGTTTAAAAAAAAATTCTAGATTGTGTTAGTAGGGCACTGCTCACTTGTAAATTACATTTTAAACACATTTCTTGTCTAAATGATGTTCAAAAAGCCCTACTAACATTATAAGTCATTAAAATGTGGCCATTAAAAATCCCAGGATGTCCTTCGAAATAGAGTAGTGGTTTAACCCTGGTGTAACAGAGGCCAGTCAGTGAAGTGCTATGAAGGTAAACTTCATTCCTCTGACCTCAAAAGGTGCTCTAGCATCAGACACATACGGTTTCGGGCTGAAGTCACTTAGAGCAACCAACTCCAATACAAAAAAAATTGCTGGTTTGATCCCAGCTCAGCGTGGGTTGGATGTAGTTGAAATTTTCAACATCCAAATGGGGTTTATGCGAAGTATGCTAATAGGACTTTTTTTGGGGGGGTTAGGAAAAAAAACGTAGCACCCGGAGGAAACCCACGAAAATGCGGGGAGAACATGCAAACTCCACACAGAGTTTGACCCAATTCAATTGAACCATCCCCAAATCATAATTGGCTTCATCACTCTGTCTCCTCCCCATAAATCAGCTGATGTGTGGTTTGGTGCAATATGGCTGCTGTCGCATCATCCAGGTAAATGCTGAACACTGGTGGTGTATGAGGAGATTTCACCAAAAATGTATAAAGCCCTTTAAGTGTCCAGAAAAGTGCTATATAAATGTAAGGAGTTATTATTATTATTATGGTATAATATAAAATTTAAAAATGGGTTTTACAAAAAAAGGGTTGACCACCCCTGCACTACACTGAATTTATTCAGTTACTTCACAGTAAGCCACAGTAAAAAAAACAAAACAAAAAAACAATGTAATCAAAAGAAAACTCTATTATAAGAAGAATAATTTCCTGCAAAAGAATTATTGAAATATTAGAAAATAATCCACATCCAAGATGTAGCCCCTCTTTATGTCATGTTCAGTACTTTCTAATAATTCAACAGCCTTGTCACTTTATTTAAACACACACACACACACACAAGCCACAGGACATTTTTTATTGAAAAAAATTATTCAAAGATGATTCATTGGATTTACTAAATGTTTTTACGTTAAGTGGTTGTAAACAACTTATTTGGGCTGAATTTAAACAAACAAATTAAGTTGAACATAATTAAACTTAATTTGATTGTTTAAATTCAACACAAATAAATTGTTTGCAACAGTTCTGCATGCAACACTTTTTTCAGTCCAGCCTTGTTATTTTGCCCATAGACATTATGCATTCGATGTTCCTGAAAAGAAAAAGACAATAAATGATGATTTCAGGAAGAATTACTGAAATTTACAATTAGAAAACATATATTTATTATTAAACTAATAATACTCACCGGAAGTGGGTTGTAGATTAAGCTGCAATGACATTATGATGGACATTAATTATTCCGAAGAAATATTAACCATATACTTTTTACTAAATTATATCTATTCTATTTATCCTTTTAATTTACTGTTTACCATTGCATTTATTACCTGACTGCTTTCTCTTCCTGCATTCAATGATAGTGCCAGCTATGGTCAGTAACACCAACCCAACCACGCAAGCCACTATCACCTTGGAATGCACTGGCTCAAATCTTTCCCCTGGATAATCTTAAGTAAGGCAAAAAAAAAAAGGTCACAAAGGCATTCATTTATCACATATCCTTTTATGTGCACTTACCCAAATTAACATCCAGTTTGTTGTCCAGACTGAGGTGTTTGGCAGAGCAGGTGTATTTGTGTTTTTCTCTCTCCTCTGCTCTTATCTGCAGACTCTTCCTCATCTGGTACGTCCCGTCTCCATTGGGCAGCAGATCTCCTCCAGTGACATCATGATCAGATACAGGCTGTCCATCTCTCAACAGGGTCAGGTTGATGTGACGAGGGTAAAACCCAGTCGCCAAACAACTCACACGAAAACTAGAAGACAGCTTTTTCAAGAGAAGCCTGACTTTGGGTTTTACTGTGGGGGAAAACAGGTAACAAAAAGAAATCATTGTGTAAACAGGCTACGTTGCCCTGAAAAAAAAAATCTAAATGTAATAACATTTTTGTCTTTACAAGAAAATGAAAAAAATGTTTAGCTCAAACCGTATTTCCAAGTGATTTCTAAAATCCAAATCAATGGCAGCTAGTAGCCTACTTTGAGAGTCAGTGGCTCACAAAGATCTTTTGAAGCAGAAAACTTGGGCTGTGAACATTATTTTAAACATTATTACCTTTAATGCACACACAGTCTTGGCAAACAGTCCATGCTGATGCTGTTTGCTGGCACAAGTACCATTTTAAGTGGCAATACAATAAATATGTCCCCCTTCTCCTTTGTAAACAACATGTGAGTCTGATGCATATATCAATGTGCAAAGTTTGTGAACAAGTGTCACAATTACCAAGTAGAGTACACACCAGACACATTAGAGGGCACTGTGCACATCACGTCTGGCACTGAACTAAACTGCATGTCCTCAGCAACTCACAACTGATGTTTTATCTTCATGTTACTGTCAGCTCTTGTATTTAAGCTTGCCTGCCTGACTTCTCCAATAAAGATGCGTTTGGATCCCGTCCCTTATCATCACATCCCTATCATTACATTAAGGATGCTTGGCAAAGCTGTGGATTTAAGATATAATGTTGTAAATAAAGTTACGTTTCTTTGACTTACAGATAAATAGTCTATAGCTGCGTTTACACTATCACTTTTGGGGCTTTTTGCATGTTTTATTAAGGACACCCATATAGAAATATAATGGTAATATATGCAAATTACATATATGATATGTTTAGATAACCACATTTGCAAACATATATATATATATATATATATATATATATACACACACACACACACACACTCACAGGACACTTTATTAGGTACACCTTACTAATACCGGGTTGGACCCCCTTTTGCCTTCAGAACTGCCTTAATCCTTTGTGGCCTAGATTCAACAAAGAATTATTGGGAAAATTCCTCAGAGATTTTGGTTCATATTGACATGATAGCATCACAAAGTTGCTACAGACTTGTAGGCTGCACATCCATGATGCAAATCTCCCTTTCCACCACATCCCAAAGGTGCTCTATTGGATAGTGATGGGTCGTTCATGAACGATTCTCTCATTTTGAACGAATCTTCAATATGACTTGGGAACTGAGTCCTCTCAGGGAATGATTCGTTCATCCACGCGTGCGCACATTTGTGCAGGTAGTATCGTTAATTTTAAGTCTTCATCACATTGGCAGAAGCCAATCATTTGCGTTTAGAGCCAGAAAAAGAATTGATCTGCTCATCTCTCGAGTCCTCTATCGGGTCTGAGTCACTCGTTCATCACGGGCCAATCATTTGCGTTTAGAGCCAGAAAAAGAATTGATCCGCTCGTCTCTTGAGTCCTCTATCGGGTCTGAGTCACTCGTTCATCACGGGCCAATCATATGCGTTTAGAGTCGGAAAAAGTTTTGATCCGTTCATCTCTCGAGTTCTCTATCGGGTCTGAGTCACTCGTTCATCACAGGCCAATCATACGCGTTTAGAGCCAGAAAAAGAATTGATCCGTTGATTTCTCGAGTCCTCTATCAGGTCTGAGTCATTCGTTCATCAAGGGCCAATCATACGTGTTTAGAGCCGGAAAAAGAATTGATCTGTTCATTTCTTGAGTCGTCGGGTTTGAGTCATTCTGTCACATGATAAACGAACGATCATGGCTCCTATTGGCTTAGACTGTGCATTGATTAGGATTATATGTGACTGTCAGTGTAACGTGAATGAACCCCTGACATTTGAAGACATGAAGAGGTGAGCTGAGCAAAGAGACAAAAATGCCTTTATAGACAAAAAAGTAGGTAAACATTCAATTATTATTTTCTCCTTCTTATATTCTATTTATGACTTATTTGTCGTGTGATCAACCTTTTGGGCTAGTTGTAGATGTGTTTGGAAGTAATTCGTAACATTTTAATAATATTTTGGCAAACTGAACCAAATTAACGAAATGACTCGAAAAAAGATTCGTTCATCTCGATGAATGTGACTCAAAGATCCGAGTCAGTAAAATGATCCGAACTTCCCATCACTACTATTGGATTGAGATCTGGTGACTGTAGAAAAGCGCTATATAAATGTAAGGAATTATTTTTATTATTATTAAATCACCTTTCTTCCCCATTCTGATGCTCGGTTTGAACTGCAGCAGATCGTCTTGACCATGTCTACATGCCTAAATGCCTTGAGTTGCTGCCATGTGACCGGCTAAATTAGAAATTTGCGTTAAGGAGCAGTTGGACAGGTGTACCTAATAAAATGTCTGGTGAATGTGTGTGTGTGTGTGTGTGTGTGTGTGTGTGTGTGCGTGTGTGTGTGTGTGTGTATATATCAACCATTAACGATTTGAATTACAAGTATGTACATTCATGTTCAAATATAATAATTATTATTTTATTTTTTTGTTCATATATTGCCATATATTAGATTTCCATTCATTGTACTTTGGCTTAAAGGTTGTGATTTTACCTTTTCTGTTGACTTGATTCTTCCTTTTTTCAAGGTACCCCTTGAGTGTTTTGATGCAGAATGGATGATATAAATGTTCGTGATTCCACATACTGATTTTAAGATGCATATTTAGCACAAAGGCTGGGACGTTCAAAGTACCCTGGTACGTAAAATTTTTGTCAACATATAGCAGCTCATCAGTGGTGGATCCTCTGGCAGCGTCACGTGTGATCATTTGTCCTGGTTTACCATCATGTCTCAGTTCACACCCAACTATCCTCTGAAGGGCAAGAACAACTTCAATGGAGAGAAAAAAAAGTGAAGGCAGTGATTAAATGGATAGTTAATGTAGGAAGATCTGTCATTATTTACTCACCCTCTACTTGTTCTAAACCTGTTAGTGTTTCTTTCTTCTATTAAACACAAAATAAGATATTTTGGTAACACTTTACAATAAGGTTCATTAGTTAATGCATTTACTAACATGAACTAATCATGAACAACAGTTGTACAGCATTTATTAATCATAATTGAACATTTACTAATGCATTATTAACATCCAAGTCCGTGCTTGTTAACATTAGTTAATGCACCATGAGTTAACATTAACTAACTATGAACAACTGTATTTTCATTAACTAACGTTAACTAACATGAATAAATACAGTAGTAGATGTATTGTTCATTTTTTGTTCATGTTAGTAAATGCATTAATTAACATTAACTAATGAACATTGTAAAGTGTGACCGATATTTTTTAAAGACAGCTGGAAACCTGTAACAATTGACTTCCATAGTATTTGTTTATCCTACTATGGAAGTCAATGGTTACATGTTTGTAGCTTTCTACATGTTTTTTTTTAGGTTCAAACATAATAATTGAACTCATTAAGGTTTGGAAACTCTTCAGGGTGAGTATATTGTCATTTTCTTTAGGTAGTGTTCATTTAAAGGTGCCATAGAATTAAAAGCTGGATTTACAAGGCACATAGTAACTGAGTAACTGAAACAAATATGTAATTGAAATACCTTCAGTTTTGTTTACATCTTGGGTTGCTACTACCCATTTTTCCTCAAAAGATGAATGCACTTTGTCACTTATTGTGCGAAGAACATTTAAATCAAATACATCGTCTTCATTTGTTGCGTTTCCTCTTGGAAAGACATTTTTTGTTTCACCATTGTAGTACATGACTCTGACATCATCCAACATCAGTACAAAACTAAATTCAGGAAATGGAGTCTGTCCTTTTATGTACGTTGAATGCATCCACAGAGAGTGAGATCCTGTAAGAAAAAATAGAGTACAACAATTTTCAATTTGTTTATAAAAATTACTTATATTTATCGGCTTTACCGTGTACCTGTCGAATTTGCCAATCACATGGAATAAACTCAATGCACTTTAATCAACCTCAAACTGAGTATCAGAATAACTGGCATGGTTCTTGAAACAGAAAAACTGCAGCACATAAGTGCACATCAGAGACACAAAACAACCTAGGCTCATTCTGATTACGTACCTCAATATACTACTCTGGAGAGACAAAAATACTTCCCAGGAGCTATGTTTTTTGCATGTTTTTTATGCTTTTCATGTCTTTTATTTTGAATGGCATCATGTTACTACTGTATGTTGTTTTATGTTCCATATGTTATCGTCAAACCAAACTCATGGTTACTGTTTTTGTAATGTTTTGGATTTAGTTTTCACATGTTTGACTTCAACAACTTTGACTCTCTTTAACAAGCTGTGCCAGAAACTTTACAGAACAATCCAAGAACAAGCTTAATACATTACACAACCACATCACATGACATAAAACATTTTAGATCACATGAGAAAAACAGGAAGTCACTTCATGAACTAATTTCCAAACACAAAGTAACTAATAAAACTTATAACATACAACAAATCTAGCTTAGGTTTTAATACTCACAAAGTTTATAGCTTCTACTGGAATATTTCAACAGAATATAGTAAAAAAAGTGTCAAACTAAAAAACAATTTACGTTTAACTATAGCAAAAGTACAGCTGTAATGGATTTTTTGTGTTTATTTAAACTAAGAAAAATCAGCTATTAATTTAATTTCCAGTGTGTTAGAAGATAGATATTTATTGCTTTGCTAACTACTGGATGGAATTAACCAGTTTGAAATTCCAGTTGTGCACACTGTTGTCACAGTTTCATTTTATCATATAATATTATTAATGGTCATTACAATGACATTTTGTCCTTTCTTTTGGGATAAATAATGAAATGTAAACATTGTAATTATGAAATAAAACTACAATTTAATTAATTTGTAAAATTATACCCTTTATTACTTTAAAATGAAGTATCCATGTGCATTCACACAAACTATAAAAGTGTTCCACTCTTCCCTTTAGTACAAATGGCATATAATGAAGACAAGTTGATGGTTTAAGTCTCATTTATATAGCATGGGTAAAATAAATCCAAATTATATATATATATATATATATATATATATATATATATATATATATATATATATATATATATATATATATATATATATAAGCAAACTCATTTACTTATATTGTATGATTATTAATGACAGGCAATTGGTCATGTTGTTTCATTTAGTTTTCTCTGTAAAAGCATTTCTATTAAAAGAAAAAATTTAAGTAAAAAAAGTAAAGACATACCTTTCGGAGCAACTGCTGGAAGTAAAATCAGCATAAGGTGAAGAACCTTGTCCATACTGATTGCGCACCAAACATTGATTTTCAGTCTGCACGTTATTTCAAATTATCAACACTGTTAATCCACACTTTGTGTGTTTATGAGCATTTCAACAGTTTCAATAAAATAAATGCTTTTCAAGCAACCGCTACTGTGCAGTCTAGATAAACATGCTTTCACTTCCCCTTTTACATTCGTCTGAAAAAACGTCAGTATTGAAATACACTCAGAACCATTGCTAGAAATTGAATGTGAACACATTTAGGTATGGCTGTAATTGTTCGATCTTAACTGACAATTTAATACAATATATTATGTCTGTTGTTTGTCACGTGGTGTTAAGACATTTGTATATTAGTTTTTACAACAATCTCTTCGAATGCTAAAAATTATGTGTGAAATATTTTTGGACTATAATGGCTCAAGATAAATATATCAGAACCATTTTGCATGTTGCATTTTGGGTCAATATATTTCAGGAATCATAACTTTGCCAAGATATAATACTGTATGTCTAAGGTTTGAAGATGTTTCTCCATTAATTTGAGTGATGTGTAAATTCTTTCTTCAAATGCTAAGAAAAAAGTATATTAATAAATGGTGCAGTACCATTTTAAAAGGTACACTTTAGTATTTGCAGTCTTACAATATGTAGCTTTGGGAATTTGTATTTCCTCAGTGCCAGCTTTGTACAGGCTGTCTGAATGGCTCTGACTCATAGTTTCACTGTGAAAGAAAAGAAGAGCAGGGAAAATGATTAATAATAAGATAATATTACCTACACACAATGTATAATAGTTGAATAGACATTATACTTGTTCCATTTACTTGTGCTTCCTCTCTTTTGTTAAGGAAGCTCTTCAGGATATATAAAGGCAGGGTACTAAAAAGCCTGAAGATGATGACAAAACTGAAAATAAAAGACCCGCATGGATCCAAGATACAAACATGGATATTCTATTAAAGGATTATAATACAACATGTTTGAATGCACAAATAAAAACACTGAACTCCAGATTCAGACTTCTTTAATATAGACACTGTATTACTTTGTGTTGGACAAATGTTAATCACCCCTTTATTGGACTTTGGTTGAGAAACCTAATAACATTTTTGGCTTTTGAAAAGCTCACATGAGTAATAAGATAAAATCCTCTGAATTTAGATATCTGGGAGGTGTTTTTAAACTTTGTAAAAAATGGAAATATTAAATCTAATGATGGGATTTCATTAATTTAAAACTTTCGGTGGTTGTATTTTGGCACCTTCAGAACCTGCACTAATAATACTGTCTTTCTTTAAGGAAATTAACTGTTTATAATATAGTTATGTTAAAATCATCAAATGTATTAAAGGATTATACAAAGACACTATAAAAATACATTAAATGAATGAAAACAGGAGTGTAATTTTCAACAACTTTACATAGGTTAAAAAAATCAACAGGTTATGATTGACGATGACTCGCTGAAATAGTACTGGCATTAAGGCTCATGCACCCATTGCTACATTACTGTAGTTACATAAATTACAATAGTTTGAATATGTGAAATGTGTGGAAAACAAGAGAACACCTGTTTGGCACAGAAATCAAAAATAAAATGCCAGAATTTTCATCCATTTGAAGACATTCCTCCATTCATTTGAGTGACATGTCCATACTCTCCTCAGATGCTGAAAATTAAAAGTATTATTAAATGTGTAATGAAGAACTCTAAACGTACAATAATTCATATAGTTATTGAGTACTGTAAAGTACTTACTTGAAGCAGAAGCATATCCACTCTTAATGGAATCTAAAACTCAAACAGAAGATTGTTTGTTAGAAAACATGTTGATTAGTTACTTTTACATTTTGGTTCCTGTTGTACCTGAACATCGTCTTTTCCTTGCAATTACAGCAGCTGCAACTCCAAACACCAACATAAGTGTCACCGACTCGGTCCCAGTCATTCCCCTCGCTGGCCAGCAGAGGTAATCATCACCGAACTATTAGCATTACATCATCTCAAAACAACAGCCCAAAAACTCTGAATGAGTTACAATTTCTGGGATTTGCCAATTTCTACAGACGATTCATAAGGAACTTCAGTAGTGGCTGCCCCGCTCACTACTATGGTCAAAGGAGGTAAAATTAAATTGGAATGACGCAGCAAACCGGGCATTTGCTAACCTGAAAACCCGCTTCTCAACGGCACCGTTCCTATGTCACCCGAATCCCTACCTACCCTTTGTCTTAGAAATTGATGCATCCAATACGGGCATAGGAGCTGTGTTATCCCAGAGACAAGGAGACCCAGCCAAACTCAAACCCCTGCACCTTCTTCTCACGGAAGCTCAATTCAGCCCAAAGAAATTACGATGTGGGCAATCGGGAACTCCTCGCTATGAAGGCGGCCATGGAGGAGTGGAGACATTGGTAAGGAGCCAGACACCCTTTTACCGTAATCACTGACCACAAGAACCTAGAGTACATTCGTTCAGCCAAAAGATTAAACCCCAGGCAGGCAAGATGGGCTTTATTCTTCACTTGCTTTGACTTCTCTGTCACGTATATTCCAGGTTCCAAGAATATTAAAGCAGATGTGCTCTCGTCTTTGTGAGAAGGAGGTTGTAAAGGAGGAGGTCCAATCCATTGTCGGCAACTCGCTCTTCTTGGCCCCCATCATTTGGGATATAGAGACAGAAATTTCTCAAGCCCTAAACCAGCACCCTGCACCACCAGCTTGTCCAGCAGATAAAACCTTTGTTCCCTTGTCGATAAGAGAGAGACAAACACAAGAAATCCACTCTAATCCCAGCTCAGGACATCCAGGCATAACAGGTATGCTCTCACCCAGAACCATTACTGGTGGCCCACCTTAAAAGGAGACATCATAAAGTTTATCAAGAAATGCACCCTTTGCAACATGCATAAATACTCTCGTCATCGCCCCGCAGGACTCTTGCAACCACTCGCCATTCCACGTCGCCCCTGGTCTCACATAGCTATCGACTTCATCACAGACCTTCCTCCCTCTCTCTTTAATAAACGTACTGCAAATCGTCAAAACCACCAGAACTGTAGGAATCAGTAATTTAAATGGTTCACCGTGATCAAAGTCTGCAACATAAACCAAAAACTGAGAGATTAACTTTGAATATTGATTTTTATTGTTATATTGTGGAAGAATTTATTACCCAAATCAACAAGTTTGTTGTCCAGACTGAGGTGTTTGGCAGAGCAGGTGTATTTGTGTTTTTCCCTCTTCTCTGCTCTGATCTCCACTCTTCCTCATCTGGAACGTCTCATCTCCATTGGGCAGAAGATCTCCTCCAGTGACCTCATGATCAGATACAGGCTGTCCATCTCTCAACAGGGTCTGGTTGATGTGACGAAATTAAAATCATGTCGCTAAACAACTCACTCAAAAACCTCTAAAATCTAAGGCTTTCTGAATAAGTCTGACTTGCGGTTTCACTGGAAATCAAATTAACCAAAAATGAGAGATTACATTCCTTACAATTTATTGAATATCATAAAAAAGAAAAACAGTGTATGCTTACCTCTCCTCCTCCCTTGAAATGTTATGGTTTTATTAATAAGATGCATTTCATCTGTTGTGGATTCTTCAAAAGCACTAGTGATCAACTGGCCAGTCATTGTCCTAAAAACTCAGCATCTGATGAACTACTAACCGCCAAATTATCCAGCATATGTTTTACACAGCACATGCCATTCCAGCTGCAACCCATCACTGGAAAACAGCCATAAACACTCATTCATACACATACACTACGAGCAATTTAGCTTATTCTTAACACCCAGGGCTTAATTTGTGCCACAACACGCCGGATCCTAACTCTAACCCTAATCTGATCCGGCACCTGATTTTACCGATCCACAACCGCCCTCTTCCCCCGTCCACTTTCTTCCGCGATTCGCCAACCCTCTTCACTTTCGTTCATGTAAACTTTTGGATTTCATACAGCTGTCCCCCCACTTTTAAAATGTCCCCTATGGCCCTGCATATGCTTTATATGGATTTATCAGTCATTCTTACTTTTCAATTAATGCAAACTGTTGTAGTTTATTAAAGTTGCAAACCCCTTGCTGCACCTTCAGCTAACCTAATACGTGCAGCACAATGACTTTCATGAAAATTTTCTTTTCGGCAAAATATTTGACTGCTTGTCACTGCATCCCAAATGACTAAAAACATTACAAAATGATATAACTTAAGAAAGTTAATGAATGATTATTAAAAACTGTTATTACATTGATATGTGCACACAGTCATAGGTTAAATGTCTCTGTAAAATGGGATTAACTTGTCTCCATAAATTTGGTCACTTCACCAAAAGATTTATTTGTATAAAACATATCGGTCTGTCTGTCCATATTTCCAGAAAAACATAACGGTATGGGTAAAAAATTGGGGTTAAAAATCAAGGGTTTGGTTGTGTATGTTGTGGAATGTTTGCCAGTATCAATGTATACAAAATAAGGAGATGAGAACTCCAGAGTTGTCTAAAAAAATCTTTTACTGTATTTTAGTTGTGCATGCAACAAGGAAAGAGTCACATTTACCAAGTATATGCATCCATTTGATAATCGTGAGACTCTAACTAACAATTCTTAGTGTCTGTCTAATAAAGCCTTGTTTAGTGCCACCCTTGCAGACAAAGAATAATAACATAAACATACAGTGATAGTGGTACAGTTCACTCTTCTGCTCTGATGCATAAACTGCTCTGTACTGATAAAGCTTAAAATTCTGAGAAACTCCTGATAAAGTTTCATAACAGAAATAGCTTCAGTCTAGTGTTTTAAAGATTTGACCTACACAATCATATAATTTATTATTTCATTTTTTAAATGTTATACCAACTGAAAATATTGCCTTTGAAAACCTGTGTAATTATAATTTCACTCATGAAATAATAATCTTTTGTTTTAAATATAGACTTTCATGTAATAACCAATTTCTCAAATAATTATGTTGAATATATTTTGCAAGTTTGGGAAAAACTCCCTTCTCAAATCCATTTTCAAGTCATTTTTTTTACCATTTTGCTTACCGTACATCCACTTGCGCTTGTTGCGTGCATTAGTTTTGATAATACGTATCATACCTTCCAACAGTCTCCCATATTTCACACCCATCACCCGGCACCCTACTGTTTTGTTATTTCTCCTGGAAAACTCCCATATAATTCCCGTAAAAAGTAAAAACCAAAAGATGCACTGCAGAGTGGCTACAGAAAAAAGTGAATACAATCAGGCTTTTAAAAATCCAGAATAAATATGGTTGAAAGGCAGAATGTTCCAGACAGAAAAAAAAAATTTGAACACAATTTTTTGTAATTGCATGCTATTCTTTTTGTCAGTCATGTTGTCTCCATATTTTCTACAGATGCTGAAAAGTAAATATTTTTAATTATATTGTGTAAGTTGTATGCAACAGTTTTCTTTGCCTTAATTTAATAAATAATTAGATTACTTACTAGAAGCTGCGGAATAACCACATTTAACAGAATCTAAACAACAAAGGAGAAAACACACACACACACACACATAAAAACTATTTTGTTACATTTTCATGCTAAAGTATATTTTAAATTGCTATTCTATAATCTTTAAACCTGTTTTTTTTTTGTCATACCTCTACATTTTCTTTTCCATATCACAGCTGCGACTCCAAACACCAATAACAGAGCCAAAACTGTCAGAACTGAAGGAATCACTGACTGAAAGGGTTTGCTGTGATCGAAGTCTGAAAAATGAAGCACATACTCAGAGATTAACTTTAATAGTTTTTGTTTTGACTGTTTTATGGTATATTTTGTAAATGTTTATTACCCAAATCAACATGGAGTTTGTTGTCTAGACTGAGGTGTTTAACAGAGCAGGAGTACTTGTGTTTTTGTCTTTCCTCTGCTCTGATCTCCAGACTCTTCCTCATCTGGTACGTCCCATCTCCATTGGGCAGCAGATCTCCTCCAGTGACATCATGATCAGATACAGGCTGTCCATCTCTCAACAGGGTCAGGTTGATGTGACGAGGGTAAAATCCTGTCGCCAAACAACTCACAATAAACCCAGAAGACAGTTCTTTCTTGAAGAGCCTGACTTTAGGTTTCACTGGAAGCATACAATTTGATATATGTTGGCTTGTACATGACATTTGTTTTTGATTAGTTTGACTATAGAAGATGGTAATTTTTACCCTTCCTATTGATTTGATTTCTTCTTTGTATAAGATAACCACTGAGAGTTTTGAAGCAGGTTGGTTGGAATAAAGTTTTGTGAAGACTCTTTGTCAATTCAAGGTAAAAATCTATTAGATAAGCTGAAACATTTAAAGTATGCTTGTATGTAAACTTATGGTCAACATGTTGCAGTTCATCTGTGGTGGTTCCTTCAACAGCATCACGTGATATCATTTTTCCATGTTCACCATCCTCACTTAGTTCACACAAAACAAGCTGCTGAAGTGTAAAAATCCCTTTAAAAATAAAGAAAATATAAGATAATTTTAAAATAATCATACTAAAGAACTGATCAAATTTAAATCAATGCTTAGCTGACTGTCTTCAACAATACGTACTGTCAGTTTTATTTAAGTCTCTTGATGCTAATCCCCATCTGTCAACAAAAGATGACTGTATATGGCCAATAATGCTGAGGAAAGCATTTGCATCAAACACATTATCTTCAGCCGTTGTGTTTCCTCTCATGAAGAAAGTCTTTGTATCACCATTATAGTATAGAAGTGGGATATCATCCAGCATCATGACACCACTCAATTCAGGAAACGGCGATGGCCCTTTTATGTATGTAGCAAGCAAACATAAAGAGTGAGAGCCTGTAAAAGAAATTACAAATAAATTGAAATAGTCCAAAACCATAGTTCTGTTTATTAATGGGTGGAGACCAATTGTAAGTAAGGTAAACAAACTAGGTAACTATAGGAATAAAAAGGGGTTTGGCAAAGGAACACAGGAATAAACAGAAGCAATAACAAACAGAACACACAGGGCAACTATGACTGTAACAGTTTCAGTTTGTTGCTGCACTATATACAGTATATTTAAATACAATTCTTGTGACCAAAAAGCTGGATGTGAGAATGTGCAAACAATTATACTGTAATATGTGACACATGGTGAAAAACTTATTTTGCTTTTACCAGATAAATCTCCCTATCCACAATTTTGATTGCACGTTCAACATTTAATACATATTGCATCCAGAAGATGTTGGTCAAACATTTTAAAGTGTGCTTTCATATATTCGGATTTCTAAAAGTTCAAATTATTTAGTGAAACAGTTCATTTGTTTATTTATTTTGTTTGTTTAGGAAGTTATTTCTAAAGCAGGTTTTGCTACATAATTAAATGTTAAAAATTACAAGTTAGTACTGTTATTCATTAAAACATTTGTTTTCAATTTAATAATTATTTTGCAGTCTCACCTTTTGGAGCAGAAGTTGGAAGTAAAAAGAGAAAAAGCAGGAGTATTTTGTCCATGTTGCAGGTGCGTATGCTTTCCGTGAACCCACACTTGACATTAAAACAAGTTCCTGCTCCACCCCTGTGGGTGTGTAAAAAAAGAAAGAAAGCTGTCAGCGTTCACCTCTTCAGTCAGTAATAATTAGTCCTAAATGTTAGTCAAGCTGGTATCATTATTTACAAAACTATTATATGTAGTAGTTCTTCAACATTACTTCAGCAGTCCCAATGCTACCAGGAAATCATGCAGAAATCTGACTTAAAAGCCAACATGAAAAAATAACAACTGTAGTCCATTGTACTGTACATAACATGTATTTTTATTGTCAAACCTGTTGGCTGATTATATCTGTTGAAACTAAAGCATACATTGAAGAGACAATAAAAATGATTGTTTCCAATCATGTTTTTAATGCTTTAAATTAAAAATAAAATGTAAACAAGTGTGTTTGTACTTTTCAGGTGTAAAACTATATTAACATACTAGGAGCATAGTGTTCCTTTTTAGCTATAACAGCTTTAACACTAGTTAATCTGTGATCTGTTTGCTGATGCTATTGATGCTTCAACCTTTACTATAATACTATATTGGCGAGGCAGTGGCGCAGTAGGTAGTGCTGTCGCCTCACAGCAAGAAGGTCGCTGGGTCACTGGTTAGAACCTTGGCTCAGTTGGTGTTTCTGTGTGGAGTTTGCATGTTCTCCCTGCCTTCACATGGGTTTCCTCCACAGTCCAAAGACATGCGGTACAGGTGAATTTGGGTAGGCTAAATTGTATGAGTGTGTGTGTGAATGTGTGTGTGGATGTTTCCCAGAGATGGGTTGCGGCCGGAAGGGCATCCGCTGCGTAAAAACTTGCTGGATAAGTTGGCGGTTCATTCTGCTGTGGCGACCCCGGATTAATAAAGGGACTAAGCCAACAAGAAAATTAATGAATGAATAATACTATATTGTGATGAAGCAGTAAAACTTGACAACTTTCAGTCACATTAGTCTCAAACTCCACCACGAATAACATGCTTTGACCTGCAAATATAGCATTACAAACATCATCGTCTCTAAAAGCAAGTAAAATGGAATAGTATAGAATAACGTCTCTAGGAAAAATCAAGCAAGACTTAAGTTTAATATTTTAATATAACAATAATAAGAGCCACACAAAGATGTCAGTCTGTTGGTCTTTTTGATGCAGATATTGATAACACGCCAAACTAAACAGAAAATGTGCTAAAACGGATCACAACCAGAGAAACTGGTTTACTTTATTTGAGGACATCATGAGGAAGTACAGTACATGTAGTCTTTTACACAAACATTACATAATACTCATTAAAACAAGTGTCAATAACAAAGTGTTGTGATCTCTGAAATTCTTTAACTTAGCTTTTGACTCATATAAGTACGTTCTTTGTTTAAACTAAAGGTAAAAAGAAAATCTGAAACAACTGAACAGCAGTACACACACACCACTGAACATGGCATTTACACAAATATACAGATACATGCTTGTGGCGAGGGGGCGTGGCCGAGAGCCGTGGGAACGGGGTGAGGTCCCCGCGATACACCTGCGGTGCGCACCTGCCTCGGATCCCACGGAAGGAGCTCTGGACCATTAAAGGAGGACCGATGGCAGAGGAAGCCGAGAGAGGACCGGGCCCGGACATATTTTACTTTTGCTTTCAGTTTGACGGCAGTTTCCGTGAGGAGCTGCCGTCCGTTTGTTTTGGTTTAGACGGCAGTCTCCGTGAGGAGCTGCCGTCACTGTTATTAATAAATATTTTAAAGCTCCGTCGGTTCTCCGCCTCCTTCTTCCCGGCAGCCAAAGGGCCGTAAACTTTATTACAGTGGTGCAGAAACCCGGGAGAAGGAGGGACGCGTTGTCCAGATGCCCCTCGCCGCTGAGAGAGGGGGAGAGTGTTCGGGAGTTAACCCGAGTGGGGGAGAAACCCGTTCGTCTGCCCAGAGTGCCAGGGCGGCCTGAGGCTGGCGAGGAAAGGATCTGCCTGCTGCCGTCTCCCAGCATGGGGAGGAGCAGGGGACGCGGGGCTCACCACCGGAAGGGAAAGTGCTGAAGGGAGCCATCCCACAGAACCCGGTGGAGTCGCCGCGATCCGCTATGATGCCAGAGCCTGCATCCATCCACCGAAGCGGGAGCGGAGCAGGAGACCAGAAATGCCGCCAGCTAGCCAGGCGAACCGCCGCCAGACGCCAGAAGACGGACGGGTGGATAGATTCCTCCACAGGGCTCCCAGCACGTCGTCGCATCTCTCGGCTGGTGGAGGACCGAGTGGCAGCGTGTCTGGAGAACCGAACCCCTTTTTTTTTTTTTTTTTCCTCTCTCCCCTTTCTCGGTCTACTCTGTCTTTCCTCCTTTTTTTTCCATCTCCTTTTCTCTCGGCCCGACTCATATAGGTCTCGCGGGTGCTGTGGCGCTAAAACCCCCTGCACCCCCCCCCCCCTGTTTGCTGCTAGAACTAACAAATAAAATTTAATATACCATTTTTCTTATGATATTGTCATTATTAACCACTAAAAAAGATGAGTTTTTTATTAGAGCGCATCTAGATGATATTTTTGGAAAAAAATTTAGGTACACAACACTTAAGTAGGTAGTAAAAGGTAGTACTACATTAACTAATATAAAAGCAAAATGACCTAAGCAGTAAGTAATAGCTTATTTATTACAAAGGTATTCCCTATTACGTAATTGATAATTACTAAAGAAAAAATCATCACTGAGAACTATGTGCCAACTATGACCAATTAATAAAAAATAACCAATTACTTATCATAAAAGTCACGTTAATAAACTGAACAATTTGGTTCCCCTTCAGGAGAAGAACTTCAATGCTATGTGGAAAAAACTCACCACTATGGGGATTTTGTTCAGAAAGCCAATCGTCTGAAAGAGTATGTAAACGGGCCAATAAAATGCCAATATGTTGGCAGTGTCAGCTTGCTCAGCTGATGCTCGTTGCAATCAATTTTGCAATATAAGCACAGCGAGAGCAGGCTACGGCATCCTTTTCATTTCAGAGATTTCAACAGTCTTCTGAGAAAGTCGATGAGGGTTCCTAAAGCTGATTTCCAGAGAAATCTTCCAAAGAGTGTGAACGAGAGCAGTCTCCTGGCCCAGAGTAAGTGACATGTAGCAGCAGACAGTCGAGCTGGGTTTCTCCCTTGCCTGGCGTCCAGCATGTTAATGCAGTGCTCACGGGCCTTTCTCCCACTCCTCGAGCCCCCTCTCTGGAGTTTGGGTGCAAGGTGAGAGTGAATCTCTTGCCTCCTGCTCTTACGTGGCACCCCATCGCTTCCCGGATCAGCACTCCCACTCTGCATTGCCCCACTGCTGGTACGTCAGCGTTTGTAGCGATGAGTCCATTAAAGAGAGTTCGCGAAACGGCCCCCTAAGTTCACGTGTGTGTATTTCCCCAGGGTCAGCCCCCTGTCTGCCCCTGTCTTGCGAGAGCAGATTGCTGTCCTCAGCACTGGCTTCATGATCGAGTCCCCGGACACGCATGACATGCAGGCACACACCAGGTGACTGTCACTATGCTGCACTAATCTGTCACAGATGCTTCCAGCATGGGCTGGGGGGCCATGTGTTGCAGCCATGCAGCTGCGGGCCTGTGGAAAGGAATCCAGTTGCAGGGGCATATCAATCGACTAGAGCTGTTGGCAGTGTACCTTGCTGTCCACCGTTTTTTTACCGGTGCTGGAGCAAAAACACGTGCTGGTCAGGACGGACCGCACGGCAACGGTGGCGTATATCAACCACATAGGGGGTATCCACTCTTGTCGCATGTCTCAGCACTGCACTGGCCCACAGCTGGCCTCGGGGCATGCGCAAATATGTGTTTCCCCCAGTGAGCCTGCTCGCGCAGTTACTGTGCAAGGTCAGGGGGGACGAGGAGCAGGTCTTGCTAGTTGCGCCTCTCTGGCCCAACCGGACCTGGATGTCAGAACACTCCCTCCTCGCGACGGCCTTCCCCTGGCAGATCCCTTTGAGAGAGTACCTACTCTCTCAGGGTCAGGGCACCATCTGGCACCCAGATATTTAGAACCTTCACGTGTGCCTTAGACGCGAGGAAGACTTAGGTAACCTACCGACGGCGGTGGTTAATACCATCACTCAGGCTAGAGCCCCCTCGACAAGGCGCACCTATGCCTTGAAGTGGTCTATTCACTGAATGGTGTGTCTCTCGCAGAGAAGACCCCCGAACTTGCCAAATCAGCATTGTGCTTTCTTTCCTTCAAGAGAAGCTGGAGAGCAGGCTGTCGCCCTCCACACTCTAGGTTACGTGTCTTCCATCCCTGCTCACCATGACTCGGTGACTGGCGGCACCATGGGAAGGCATAACCTCATCATCCGCTTCCTTAGAAGTGTTTGGCGAATAAATCCCCTACCCCACTCTCATGCCCTCTTGGGATCTTGCCCTCATTCTCACATACAGAACCATTCGAATCACTTGACTTGGTATCTTTAAATTTCTGTCCCTAAAGACAGCTCTGCTGATCATGTTGACATCGATTAGGAGGGGCAAGGGCCTGGAGGCATTTTCGGTCAGTGACTTGTGCCTGGAATTTGGCCCGGCCTACTCTTACGTTGTCCTGAGACCCCGGCCTGGATATGTGCCCAAGGTTCCTACCACACCATTTAAGGACCAAGTAGTGAGCCTGCAAGCGCTGCCCCGGAGGAGGCAGACCCAGCCCTTTTTATTACTTTGTCCAGTCACGCTTTGCGAAACTATCTGGGCCACACACAGAGCTTTCTGAGCAGCTCTTCATCTGTTATTGTCGTCGGCAGAAGGGAAGTGCCGAATCTAAACAGAGGTTGGCCAACTGGATAGTGAATGCCATCTCCCTCGCTTACCAAAGCCAGGGCGAGCCGTGTCCACCAGGAATTTGTGTGCACTCCACTTGGAGCTTCGCATGTGTCTAGGCGCATGCACGCGGCACCTCTCTAACAGATATCTGCAGAGCTGTGGGCTGGGCGACACCTAACACATATGCAAGGTTTTATAATCTGCGGGTGGAGCCGGTTTCCTCAAAGGTATTAGG